AGAGGGTCACTCCTTCACGATTGCAGGGGGGCAGGACATCTTTAGCAGTGCCTGCCCAACGAAGAGGCTGCTAAGAGATGCTGATGCGACAGAGGACGCTCTGTTGTGTACCTGAAAAACACAGCTGAGGCCCCTGAGCCAGCAAGATTAGAAGGCCCCTGTGCCAAGATTAGAGAAACATACAACATACTCTCCTCTTCTCACTCTCTTGGCCGAATCAGTCAGTGTGACTAGCGTGGGTCGTTGAGACTCCAGAGCAACGGCTTTCCGTCATGGCGCCGTGGTGACCCTCCGGGGAGACCGGTGATGAACCGGGTGTTCAGCCTTCGTTCAGATCGTTCAGATTCTCCCGATGCTACTTTATCTCTCTCTCTCTGATGCTCGCATGTGCATCTGACATGAGTGCAGGTGCGGTAATGGACGGCTAATGCGGTAAGTGCGTCTAGTGTGCAGGTGCTACCTCCCTAGTCTGTCCCGTAGTCGACCGCTTCTTTATTTCTCAGGGAATGCAAGGGCATGTGCATCCGACATGAGTGCAGTTGCAGTAATCGACGGCTAGTGCAAGTGAAACAGCGCTCTCTTCGGAGAGTACTCGGCCTCTCGCTTTTCTCTCCCCCTAACCCCACACCCTAAGTTGAGGACCACGCAGGACGTGGTACCTCTCATTCCATTGCTCCTGGGTGCTTTTCTGCACAGCTGGAGGATGGTCCGCCGCTCCTGGGTGTCTTTTGCTACACAGCTGGAGGGTGGATGTTCCCTAATCCTGCTACTGGCCTTGGACCCTGCTCGGGTAGCTGGGCAGTAGTCACTCCGTTCCTGGGTCTTCGGTGACAGCTGGAAGGAGTGTCCTCACCCTATTCTCTCCCCCTAATTACAACATACAAACACATGTGCAATACATTGGTCAGAAGCTGCTAGCCCTGGACCCCTTCGAGGGTAGCTGGGTAGCAGTCTTTCCTTCAACCCTCCTTACTGTTGCCTTTGGGGGCCGTCGCGCCCAGCTGAGGAACAGTCCCCGGCTGGATCTGGGCCCTTGCAAGGGCAGCTGATCAGCCTTCCTTCCCCTCTGTCGCTTCTGGGGGCTTGCGTGCCCAGCTGAAGGACAGTCCAAAACCCTAACTTTAACGCCTCACTACATCTTGGACTACCACAACATCCCGGACCACATCGACAAGATTTGCAAGCGGGCATTGCAGCCCACAGGGCTTTGTGGTTTAGTTTTGGTTCGTTTAGGTCTTGGAGCCCTGGCGTGGCTTTATTTCACTGCACACAGCCGCCCCAAGGTGGGGCTGTGTGTGTGTGAACCTCCCTAGCACATGGGAGCAGAGGGTCACTCCTTCACGATTGCAGGGGGGCAGGACATCTTTAGCAGTGCCTGCCCAACGAAGAGGCTGCTAAGAGATGCTGATGCGACAGAGGACGCTCTGTTGTGTACCTGCAAAACACAGCTGAGGCCCCTGAGCCAGCAAGATTAGAAGGCCCCTGTGCCAAGATTAGAGAAACATACAACATACTCTCCTCTTCTCACTCTCTTGGCCGAATCAGTCAGTGTGTGTGTGTGTGTGTGTGTGTGTGTGTGTGTGTGTGTGTGTGTGTGTGTGTGTGTGTGTGTGTGTGTGTGTGTGTGTGTGTGTGTGTGTGTGTGTGTGTGTGTGTGTGTGTGTGTGTGTGTGTGTGTGTGTGTGTGTGTGTGTGTGTGTGTGTGTGTGTGTGTGTGTGTGTGTGTGTGTGTGTGTGTGTGTGTGTGTGTGTGTGTGTGTGTGTGTGTGTGTGTGTGTGTGTGTGTGTGTGTGTGTGTGTGTGTGTGTGTGTGTGTGTGTGTGTGTGTGTGTGTGTGTGTGTGTGTGTGTGTGTGTGTGTGTGTGTGTGTGTGTGTGTGTGTGTGTGTGTGTGTGTGTGTGTGTGTGTGTGTGTGTGTGTGTGTGTGTGTGTGTGTGTGTGTGTGTGTGTGTGTGTGTGTGTGTGTGTGTGTGTGTGTGTGTGTGTGTGTGTGTGTGTTTTTGTGATGCTTTTGGATTTTTAGTGTTCTTGTGTGTTCTTGTGTTCTTTTGGTGTTTTGTGTGTTTGCGTGTTTGTGTTCTTGTTTTTTCGTGTTTGTGTGGTTGTGAGCGGCTGCTTGCTCTTCTCGTCCTAGAAAGCTGTGGGAGGAGTTCGCATGGATCAAGAGTTTTTAGAGACCTTTTCCGAGATATTAGCGAGGAGGTCTTACATGCAGCTTCAGCAGCCTCTCTGATCGGGATTATCATCGTCCACTGCACCTGGCCGTGATTCCGAGTCAACTTCAAATTGCTTTGGTGGACTCTGGCAGCACAGCTGTACCGCCTGGAGGACGGGCAGGAAGCTGAAGCGGCAGGTGCTTCGGTACTGGCATGGCAAGCCTCACGCGGACTTTCTCCCCCAAGCTGCGGAAGATGCAACCTACAAAGCCTGCTCTGTCCAAGCGCACACCAAGGGGCTGCGACCCCGGCCTGGTGTTTAAGGACGGCGGCAGCAGGGGCATCTGTCGCTCCGTCTGTCGGTCTGCAGGCGGGGGCGGCGGTTGCTTCGGCAGTGTTGCCGCAACCTGAACATCTCTAGGTCAGTATCCGCACGTGACAGGCTCAACTCAGGAATCAGCCAAAGAATGGCTTAAGCTGTCGAGTTGCAGGATCTGAAGCCATGGCAGCGCTGCGGAGGCTTGAGACCTGGTTGATTTCGTGGGGATCACTGCTTCTTCTCTCCTCCAGAGCTGGTCTGCTCGGTTTTTTCGGGGGAGGGAGCGGCAGGTTGTTGCTCTGCGGCGGGGAACGCCGAGGTGGTGGCGGGGGCGGCGGTGCCGTCTTTGCTTGGCTCGGGCTGGGCGGAAGGCACAAAGCGAAGTCGCTGGCCCAATCCGAGAAAGCTTGGTCGACACGCACATCGATGCGCTCGGCGTTCTCCACCGCCGGGGGCGGCGGCAGTGAAACCGCCAGGGTCTTTTTCTCGCGGGACCACGGAGGTGGGTTGGGGGGTGGTCGAGGTGGAGCGGCAGGATCCAAGCTCCGCTTCGGTGGAGGAGGGGGAGGCGGCGTCTTCGGTATGCTGTTGGTACTGCTTGGGGAGTCTTCTATCATGTTGGGAACCGCCGACCCGACGATGTCCCGCAGCTCCTGGGCAAAGCTTTGGAAGTACTCCTCCTTCTCCTCCGCCTTCTTCGCGGAGTAGAGCGGTCGTGGGATGGCAGGTCCTGTGCTTCCCATGGTTTGGCCCAGGCCATAGGATGGGCCGCGCGGCAGCTCGGCCGCCGCGCCGGACCCCGAGGCCTGCGAGGCCTGCGCCACGTCCTTCGCCCAGTCCCAGAAATGCTCCTCGCAAAAAGAAGGTCGCAGCTTCCGAAGGCGCCGAAAGCTTATGACAGCTATTACGGCAACGTCGCTGCAGTTAGAGTTCTAGAGACTAAGAATGACTCGGACAGGAGCGCTCCTCTGCATCCTCCTTGGCCTGCTTCACCTCCTGGCTCGAGGGCTCCTGGGGGGGCTGCTGGGGAGCTGCTTCCTGTCCTTCCCAGGCGACCTTCGGTTCGCCTTGGAAGGGAGCAACGGCGACGGACCGGGCGGACTTCACGGAGCTCTTCACGGAATCGGCCATGCGTTGGCAGGTCGCCTTCGTATCGGGGACGTTCACCTTCACGTTCCCCGCACGTAGCTGCCAAGCACAGAGGCTGATGACTACAACGAAAGCAACCGCAGCGACACTGGTTCCAATGATCATACCGGCATCCTCCGATGGCGCATTCGTGGTGGTGACAGCGGTGAAAGTCGTAGTTGAAGTCTGGGAAACCGTCTTGGTTGCAGTGGTCGATGTGCCTGCCAGCGGCATCGGCACGTATATGCCCACGTAGGCGCCACCGGCAGTGGTGGCCTGGCACTTTATCTCGGTGGCTCCATAGCTGGTTGGAAGCACCCAGGATGTGGCGTCTATCGACCAATCCGGATCCTCACAAGGAAACAAAGAAACACACATACACGCGGCACATGCACCCAGTCGGGCATCCTCTGCCCCCTCGCACTTCCGACTCCCTCTTTGCGCACCTGCTCCGAGGTGCGCAGGTGCGCACATACGGGCTCGTAGACGAAGCCCGTGGGTGCCGGGACCAGCGGCAGCTGGGGCCTCTTAGTGACACAGGATCACACACCACACACCGAGAGAGAGAGGCGCGGTCGGAGTGCCGATCCCGATCTAGGCCCAGCGCAATGGCAGGGTCAGGTCAACCGGTGGATTGAGATCTTGCTGTACTACGATGGTGTCGCACGCTTTGATCTCCAGCACCTTCACCGTCGCGTTCGGTAGAACATACCGATTGATGCCCAAGCCTGGGAGCCAGGTTCGATAAACCCCGGACCGACCGACATGGGGATAACTTGACTGTGGCATGTGTTGCCCGGGGTCTACTGAAAACGCTCTTCCGTGCATCCAAGCGTCTGCTGTTCAAGTAGCTGTACGGGTTGCCTGACATTCGAACACTCTGGACAAGGGTACCGTAAGACTTGAGACATTGCCACTAGGGTCACAACATTGAACCAAGCTGCTCAGGACCCAGTCCGTCTGCTGCACGGCCAAGGTATCGCAAGGACTACCACTTTGCAGACGTCGACCGGAGAAACTTCCGACGGCAGTCGGAGGGATCTGCACAGCGCACAGACTTCAGAGACAGAAGGTTGGTCCAAATCATGCAGTCACTGCCTCGACACCGTCTGCCGCGACTCCGTTGGACTGCGCTTCCTGGACGCTTTCCTTGTTCACGTTGATTTCCTGAGACGGCATGTTGCGACCCTGCTACCACTACTGAATCCCGCCATCGCTACAGCCACACTGCCACTACCACTGCCGGTACCGTTACAAGACCGGCTGTGGGAGCTCTTCCCTCTACTCTTACTACTCTTACTACTTTGACTACTCTTCTTACTACTCTTACTACTCTTGCCACTCTTGCTACTCTTGTTACTCTTGCTACTCTTACTCTTACCCTTACCCTTACGTTGCTCTTGCTCTTCCTCCTACTCCTACTCCTACAACTTCTACAACTTCTACTACTTCTTCTACTACCACCACTACTACTACTACTCCTCCTCCTGCTGCTGCTGCTGCAACTGCGACTGCGATGACGACGACTGCGACGACAACTGCGGCTACAACTATGACGATTAAGACGACGACGACGACGACGAACGACCACTACGCCGAAGAAGCAGAAGAGGACCTGTACACTTAATCAGTCCTGAGATATTTCTTCCGAGAAGCAAGGCCCTTGCCACTCGCGTCCACTGAGCTCATTGTGGAAGAACCGCCCACGGGTGTTGTGGCCAGGGCTGCGTTTCCCAGCTTCGACGTCTGTGGCAGGATCGTGCATGCACGAAATTTATCACCATGCGCAAGTCAATGGATGCCGTTTGCGTACCACAATGTCTTGCTGCAACGACTATGTATGGAAAACTCACAGATGCTAAGGCACCATGACGGCCAGCTCTGCCGCGCGTACTGTGGCTGAAGTCTCGTCCATGTCACTCGAAGCCGCAGCATAGCCTTAATGGTCGGTCCAAGCTTCAGCCTTCCCCTCGCTATGCCTACGCCTAGAAATTGAATCCTTGTACGACCCAGCGGCTGTCTCCGACGGCTGCGATGCTGCCGAGCAAGGCACTGCCTGCTGCAGCATCCACACCTGCGGGATTTCAAGCTCTGCACATCTAGCATGAATACTTCGGAAAGGCAACAGAGAAAAGCTTCGAAAGCGGGTCCAGCATCTTCCAGAGTCAAGCATGACAAGACAAGAACCGGCGATCACACATCACTGTGTCACCGTGCCTTCGGCACCCACTGCTGCCTTGGCTTTCCACAAGTTAGAGCTGGCACCCTCTCGCAGCAAACCGGGCCGCGTCGCGAGATTAATTTGTAGCTGTTATCGAGGCGTTTCGTATGTGTCGTACGCTGTCTTATTCGCTTCTCATACATCCTACTCCCGCTATGGTTGTGGCGAATAATCTGCGCTCAGGTCCTATTCACGACACACTTCGGGTGTGGCAGTGTACTGAAGCTCGATTCGGTGCAAACGTCCATACATTCGCTTCATTTTGGCTGGGAAAGCCCATCTTCTAAGCCTGCGCCCCTCCACCAAGCGATCGCGATTGCCCCCCCATTCCTCCAGCCCTCCCTCTCATTAGGGGCGGTTGATCAAAACCAAAGGCCATACCACCACCACCACCACCACCACCACCACCGGGCTCACTGCGCCGAAAGGCACACTACTCCATCGAATGTGTGATCTGTGCAGCCAAATTCGATTCGGATCAAATGTAAGTTTGCGTAATGACGCTGCGAACTGATACAGTTGCACTTCGAGCTGAAGGGGGGGAGTCTGCAGACCTCTTGCCTCAGCATGCCCCAGGAAAAGACAGAAACCTCAAAAACTTTCTGGGCATAATCCCGTTCATCTGTCAAACGTATTCACACGTCGAACAAGAACAAGCAAAGGCAGAGCTAAAAGGCTATGGAAGAAACATGACCGAACAAGCATCATCAGACGGGACCGTGTTGTGGCCGGGTCGCATCCAGGACGCTCGACAAGACCTCCGACGCCTTGGCGGCCGACTCCACGTCCGCGGTTCCGGACTCGCTCCCGGACGACAGGACCTCCGGCTCGCTCGGTTTCGTGGCTCTTGGAATCGAGGAATAGAACTCACAGGGTCTCTTGTGAAATTCAGGGGCTTTATGGGCTTTTAGAGTTGGGTCGCTGTCATCCCTGCGACTTCGCTGTCTGGGGCGCTCGGGGACGCAAAAATCGCCCGACCTCCGTGAGCACCCCGCCGAATCGCTGCAAGCCTTGCCAGCTAACCGAAGGGGCCGAGACAGCAACATGTCTTTCGGATGGCATGCCGAACACGGATGACAACAAGACCATGATGACCTGATGCCGCTTCAGGCAGTGCAATCGGGGGCTCAGGGCTACCATCGTCTTGGCCACAGGAGAATCGGTGCTTCTGAAGATTGCAGTGTCAACCCTCAACAAGCTGGGGCCCCGACTTCCGGCATCTGTGTTGACGATGGTGGAGGCTGTCTTGAGTGCCTGGAGCAATGGCTGCACCCACCCACCCAAGCCCGAACTCCCAAACTCAAGGCCTCCGAAGCCCTCCTGTACAACACCCGAAATGCGCACAACGAAGCCCAAAGCCCTCAAGTCCAAGTATTCAAATCAGCACTAAGAAAAGATCAGGAATGGGCATCTGCTGGCCTCGAGCTGCTGATCCTGAGCCGCCTTCTTGGCCGCGTTCAGTTCCTCGCTGGAGTTCGCGGCCTTACAGAGCTGTGCTGTCGACGAGTTTTAGGGTTCCAGGAGCTCTGGTTGCTTTTGGGCCAGGTATTGTGGTTGCTGCAAGAGAAGGGAGGTACAGTAAGGCTTTGAGACGATAAGGCCGTAAGGTGCTGCCTTTCTCGCTGGGCTGGTTTGCTATCTTGCGACACAGGTCGTTCCTTCCGCATGAGTACGATTCGAGGTTGACTGATACGAGATGCGCGATGCAGAGGGTGAACGAAGGTGAGAGGGAGATCTGCGACCCTCTGAGCAGGGAGCGATCGGCACTGACACGAGCGCTTCCATCATCCCCATGATCACACCGGCATCGCCGCTTTCCACAGCACTGGCCACGGCAGTATCGATGGCGGCAGACGCTTGCTCCACGGTGAGCCCGCCTGGAGCAAGAAGGGGACTAGTCGGCTGTCCAAAAAAGGCCAAGGTTGCGCCCTTTGCCCGCCTTGCGGAACTTCCACCAAGGGTCCCAACGCAAAGGATGCAGAGATGGCTCCTAAAGTGCAGGAGCTGCATGAGAAAAGTGTTTGCGATGCAACAGTCAGCTCTCTCGTGCCGAGGTCTGCAGAACTTCGATGCGCCCGTCCTAAAACATCCCTGACCACCACGGCCGTGAAGTACGAGCCAGCTCCCATCTCAGCGAGTGCCACATACAGTACATATCACACGGCCGCCCACGATCGAAGGGAACCCGATGCAGCCACGCCACGGAAACTTGCCAGTTGAATTCGGGATCGGACACATTGATTTGAAATACTCCACCTAGCTTGGACCAGTGGATAGGACTCGTGCTGTCCCGCCACTCCTGAGACAAACGCGACACGGCGTCGGCGAGACCGAGATGGGGAGTCCCTGCTCTACACGGAAGTGCCCTTTGCTTTCTGCAGGCCCGGTCTCCACCTGCGGAGGTACGAATCCTCCATCCAGGGTCAGTCCTGCGGCATCCCGTCCCTCCCTAGGCCCTAGACCCAAACTCGGCACTCTCAGGTGTCAGGCACCTCCATCCGGAGCCACAGATAGGTTCCTTGGCTACACCCGTAAGGGGATCATGCATGAGCTCGCTGCTGCAGTCTCGCCGTGTTACACCGTGAGACCGTACTGTGCTAAGACTTCTGCCCAAAACCCTGTACATGACACGAGTGTCACCTATGCCGTCATGACATGCCCTACTGCAGATACAGTAAACATCTTGCCTCACAACACAGGGGTGAGCTGGGGCCCGGGTTCCTCCGAGCAGCTGTGCGAGCGGAAACGTGTAGAAGGCATAGGTCACGCTTGCCAGGTCCTCATCCACCCAACCCGAGGCCGTCGCCGTGAATTGAGTCGTGACGGCCGTGCCAGACAAGGGGTTGGGAGCCACTGTGCCCGCAAGAGGAGGAGCATCGGCGATGAACCTGGGCAGAGCGGGTGCAAGTCCCCAGCTGCACCCTCTCCATCCTCTGGACAGGCCCGCGTCTTCTAAGCTGCTGTCGAAACCCGAACGAAGTCACGCATTCTGCCAAGGATCTGATTGGAGTAAGCCATTTTCACACCGTCAAGCTCTGCCTGCTCCAGGTCAGCCGCAGGTTGCAGCTCGAAGTTGTCCATCTCTGCCTCGTCCGATCATTCGGAGTTCGAGGCCAGGGTCAGGGCAGAGAACAAAGCGATCCTGGCACCCCTTCAACAAGGCTGTATACTCATTCATCAATGCACATCACAAAGCCGCAAGCTGAAATCCACCAAGAACCCGCCCTAAACCGCGGCAGAGACCCTCAAAAAACGCATCGAAGCCCAGATTGCGGTCTGGCTGCAGGGGTGCCAAGCTGTAGAAGGGCGATCTCGTAGACTCTGCCTGCTTTAGATGTCAGCTGTTGAAGGCAGAAGCTAAAGCATTGCACCGTACGACTTTATCATTTTTGTTCTTGGCATGAGACTACAGTACCAAAATGCAGTAGTCATGATGTCATGGTGTGAACTGCATGGTGACCTGCTCCGCTCTCGGGCACTCGAGATTCGTCTAACCCCGGAACACCACAGTCACTAGTGCCGTGTAGTGCTTCGGGCTTGAGGTGGAAAAAGACGCCGAAGCCGCTCCAACAGCAGAAGTCCCCAGCCCGCAACCTCCGGAATGAAAGACCTGCCGAAATCCCGCTGCCCGCTTGCGACACGTAGGCTAGTCGGGGGTCTATTCTTGACAGGCTTAAAACACGACCTGACTTCGAGGGCCTTTCACCAGGTCCTGGCCCCGGAACTCCGAAGAGCGCAGCGTGAGCTCCGAAGCGCGGTTGGGGTTCGTCTCCAGGGAGGTTTGAAGGACGGCGACGATGCGGGAAGGAGGTGCCGACTCCTCAGCTAAGGATCTTACACTTTGGTCGAAGACAAATCAGAAGTTAATCCAAAAGCCGGACAGGTGTTTGACCACGAAAACTATGGGATACTTCATCATACAATGGAAGCTGGCGCATGATCACCAAGGATCCACAAGAGCAAGCCTCCATCCGCAGCTCTCTGGTGGGTTGCAGCCTGGTCACTCAATGACGCCTCAACCCTAAACCCTACACCCAAAACCCCCACACCCTCAAGGTCCTCAATCCCAAATCCTAAACCTGAACCCGTCTTGGGTTTGGGGGCGGGAGGCTTGGATTTGGGGTTTGGGATTTCAAACTCGGTCGTACCATGCTCTCAGAAACGGATGATATATGCGTGCGACTCCTGCCTTCGATCCCGGACACAGTCGCAGAGTAGTCGCCAAGCTGCCCGCCCAGTTGCGTAGACACTGCCTGTTCAGTTTCGGAATTTGTGGTCAAGTCGCGAACATGCCGGAGCACTGACGGGCTTTCGACTTCACGCTAGAGAGCCAATCCTGCAGCGTTGCTCGAAACAGCTCCAAGCCGGTCTAAGGTGCCCGACTGCCCGACTTCACTACACCTTTACGTCAATCCAGTGGCCCTGTGAAGGGCGCTTCCTGGTCGTTCAACTCTATCGATCTATCTATATGTCTATATATGTAATTACAGTGTAAAAACACTATTTGCGTAATGATCGAGCCTGCCTCTGAAGCAGTCTGGTCATGGGTGCTTTCCATACTTGCAACAAACCGAGCAACAGGACTGAGAAAAAGTCGCTTGAAAAATTGACATAGCTGAAACAAAGACAACAAACAAGAGGACGTCTGCAAATTCGAACACATCGGTTCCGTGGGCAACCCGGCAAAAAGCAAATTCTGGAAATCACAAGGAGCTTAAAATTCTTTCCATTGCCCGGATGCGCTCGACTATCGCAGCTAGGACACACCTTACACATCTAGATGATCCGCCGTTTTGACCTTCTCAAAACAATGCCAATACCGAAGTAATAGAAAGAGAAGCATGCTGGGAAGGATAATACTCGAACTGGGCCCAATGCTCTTGAGCAAACGATTCCAGGTTCTGCTGCCCTTGGAGCCTCCAAATTGCTCCATGGAACTGAGAAGTCCACTCGAGGCAAAGTTGGGGTCGCCTCGGGTCGCGCGCTTTTCTCTACGTGCTCATATATATATATATATATATATATATATATATATATGGCTTGTGGCTTCTGCCCACGACTTCATTGAAATGGGATGGGATTTCAGAGCCGTGAATTTACAGCAAGTCAGCCAGGCTGCAGTTGAACTCGTTGTCGTCGCTGTCCTGAGCCCACCCGTCTTCTTCAATGCAAACACTTGGGAAGCAAGGCAAACCCAACAAGCTCTACATCGCCAAGAATCGTAGCTGTGCTTGATGTGCTCGTGAAGGAGGTGGTGGTGCTGGTCATGCTGCTGGTTGACGATGCACTCACAGTGGTTGAAGTGGTGCCTTAGATCTCACGTCAGTACGTGGGGCTGGCGATGCTCAGCTGCCCAGCGCATCGAGCACATGGAACGGGAATCACGGCAACTTGCTCGCAGTCCAAACCCCTGAAGCAAACACAGCACACATCCAAAATACATACTATGATCAGTCAGAGCACTGGAGGCAGTGACGGAGGAAGATGAAGAGCTGGATGTAGATGTAGTCGAGCTCGTGCTTGTACTTGATGACGAAGAAGTTGAGCTGGACGTGACAGTGGTAGAACTGCTTGTTGTGGAGGTGCTGGTCGTGGTCGTGGACGTCGTTGTGGAAACGGTTGAGCTTGTAGTAGTGGTTGAGGAAACGGTGCTGGTCGAAGACGTTGTGGACGTGAGAGTTGCTGTGGTAGAGGAAGTGGTTGAGCTGGAGGTGGAAGTGCTAGTGGACGACGCCGTTGTGGACGTTGTACTCGTGATCGATGTGCTGGTAGAACTGCTGCTGCTCGAAGTCGACGATGTGCTTGTGCTTGTGACTGTCGTTGTTGAAGTGGACGTGACGGTGGTGCTTGTAGTAGTAGAAGAGGTTGTTGAAACTGTGCTTGACGTTGTTGATGTAAGGGTTGTTGAACTTGTTGTAGCTGTTGTGCTGGTTGACGATGTTGAACTGCTACTGCTGGACGTGGAAGTCGTGGAGCTGGAGCTTGTAGAGGTCGAGGTCGTGCTAGTACTTGATGAGCTCGTGGAGCTTGTCGAGCTCGAGCTGGTGGACGTAGTAGTGATGGACGTGCTGCTGGAGCTGCTGCTCGTCGAAGAAGTGGTGGTCGAGGATGATGATGTACTTGTGCTGGTGCTGCTAGTGCTACTCGTGCTTGTGCTGGAAGTCGAACTTGACGAGGTGCTAGTTGTGGATGTTGTGGTGATGGTTGTGCTGCTAGATGACGTGGATGTGCTGGAACTGCTCGTGGACGAAGTAGATGTTGACGACGTGGAGGTTGAGGAGGTTGATGTCGTAGTGATCGATGTCGAAGAGCTGCTGGTGCTGGAAGACGAAGATGTCGTGCTCGTAGTGGACGTGGAGGATGATGTTGTTGAGCTTGATGACGTACTCGTGGTCGACGTTGTGGTGATACTGGTAGATGAAGTAGACGTCGATGTCGAGCTTGTGCTCGTACTGGAGGAAGACGTCGAACTTGTACTTGTTGAAGAGCTGCTCGTGCTTGTAGTCGAAGTGGAACTGCTGGAGGTCGATGTACTTGTCGAACTTGTGGAGGAAGTTGATGAAGAAGAACTTGATGTTGATGAGGTCGACGTGCTGGTCGTCGATGTGCTACTGGATGATGTTGATGTGCTGCTTGTTGTCGAGCTGGACGTTGATGTCGTAGTGGAAGATGTTGTGGACGTTGAGGTGCTACTGGTTGAGGTGGAGGACGTAGATGATGACGACGTGGTGCTGCTGCTGGTCGAAGTGGAAGAGCTGCTTGTTGATGATGTGCTAGTGGAGGACGTTGAAGTTGAAGTAGATGATGTTGATGATGAAGACGTGCTTGTGCTGGTAGTGGATGACGACGAGCTGCTCGTTGATGACGTGCTGGTGGATGAAGTTGACGTCGAAGTTGATGACGTTGATGACGAAGAGGTGCTTGTGCTGCTAGTCGAGCTTGATGAGGTGCTTGTTGACGAGCTACTAGTGGACGAGGTCGATGTTGAAGTAGATGATGTTGATGACGTAGACGAGCTTGTGCTGCTTGTGGATGTGGATGAGGTGCTTGTTGATGACGTGCTGGTTGACGAGGTTGAGGTAGAAGTGGAGGATGTGGATGAGGTGGAGGTGGAACTGGAACTTGTCGATGTTGAGGATGTGCTGCTGGAAGAGGTGGACGTGGACGAAGTTGAGGTAGAAGTGGTTGACGTCGTGCTAGTGCTCGTAGAGGATGTGCTCGTGCTGCTGGTGGAGGTTGAAGATGTTGAGCTGGACGACGTGGATGTGCTAGTGCTGCTGGTGGAACTTGAAGACGTGGATGTCGAAGACGTGCTGCTGGAAGACGTGGACGTGGAAGACGTCGAGCTGGACGACGTTGATGACGTGGTGGTGCTTGTAGATGATGTGCTCGTGCTGCTGGAAGACGTTGAAGTTGTTGAGCTGGACGACGTGGATGTGCTAGTGCTGCTGGTGGAACTAGAAGACGTGGATGTCGAAGATGTGCTGCTGGAAGATGTGGACGTGGAAGACGTCGAGCTGGACGATGTTGATGAGGTGGTGGTGCTGGTAGAAGATGAGCTCGTGCTGCTGGAAGAGGTTGAAGTTGTTGAGCTGGACGTCGAGGATGTTGATGAAGTTGAAGATGAGGTGCTCGAAGTGGATGTAGATGTAGTGCTTGTGCTCGAAGATGTCGTGCTTGTGGACGAAGTGGACGATGACGACGTTGATGAGGTTGACGTGCTGGAAGAGGATGTACTGCTTGACGAAGTCGTCGTACTGCTCGTTGAAGTAGATGTCGTGCTGCTAGTGGAAGTGGAGGAGGAGGATGAGGTTGTTGAAGTGGTGGTAGATGATGTTGAAGAGGTGCTCGTGGATGATGTTGTACTTGTAGAAGTACTCGTGGAGGTGGTACTAGTTGACGATGTGCTACTGCTACTGGTCGAAGACGAAGTCGTAGAAGTCGAAGTAGAAGTTGTCGACGACGACGAGGTGCTAGTCGATGTACTTGAAGTTGATGTGGTGCCTATTGCATTACCCAATGGACAAAAAAAGATCTGAAATGGATTAGAGGTGTGCAATGCTTCTGCGGCGCGAAATGCGGCTTCGGGACATTAGCGACTTACAGACTTTGGTTACATATAGTCGTTCGTCCCAAGACCACTCCGGTTGAACTGTAAATCAAATGTCGGCGTATGTGGCGCTATAGGCTACCACGCTCAGAGACGACGACACAAGTCAACTCAAGTCCTGTAAAATCTGAGAGGACTCGCCTTCGGAGACTATGCTCCCTGCCTTTCGTAGCCACAACGTGTAGCCAAGATCAGCCAAGTTACTGGTACTGGAGGTGCTTGAGGTGCTGCTTGTGGATGTGGATGACGAGGTAGTGCTACTGGAAGTGCTCGATGTACTGCTCGTGGAAGAAGTCGAAGTAGATGTAGTGCTGCTGGTAGTGCTGCTCGAGGAAGTCGAGGTTGACGACGTACTGCTTGATGACGTTGTAGTCGTAGATGTGCTTGAGGTGCTGCTACTGGTGGAGGATGTACTGGTACTGCTGGTGGAGGTAGAAGAGCTTGTGGAAGTTGTTGAGGAAGTGCTAGTTGTCGATGACGATGTCGAAGATGTCGACGTGGTACTGCTGCTGGTGGACGAAGTGCTTGTTGACGACGAGCTGGTGCTGGATGTTGACGTAGACGATGTTGATGTAGACGAGGACGAAGTGCTGGTCGAGGATGTCGAACTCGATGATGTGGAAGTTGAAGATGAGGTTGTGGAAGACGTGGTGGTCGATGACGTCGTGCTGGATGACGTGGACGTCGAGCTGCTGCTAGTCGAAGAAGTGCTCGTTGACGATGTCGATGATGACGAGGTCGATGTCGATGACGACGACGTGCTGGATGTGGACGTTGAAGTCGACGAGGTTGATGTCGTACTGCTGCTTGTGGTGGATGTGCTCGTAGAGGAAGTACTGCTCGAAGAAGTGCTGGTGCTGGTGGTTGACGTAGATGAAGATGAGGTGGAGGTTGAAGATGTGCTTGATGAGGATGTTGAGGTCGATGAAGTCGACGAGGTGCTGCTGCTTGTCGAGGAAGTACTTGTGGATGATGTACTGGTGCTGCTGGTGGAAGTAGATGAGCTTGATGTGGATGTTGACGATGTGCTTGAGGAAGATGTTGAAGTTGACGAAGTCGATGAGGTACTGCTGCTTGTGGATGTTGTACTTGTAGATGAAGTGCTGGTGCTACTTGTGGACGTAGAAGAGCTGGATGTCGACGTTGACGACGTGCTCGAAGAAGACGTCGATGTGGAAGAAGTCGACGTCGTACTGCTGCTTGTCGAGGAAGTGCTTGTAGACGATGTGCTGGTACTGCTGGTGGATGTGGACGAAGTTGATGTAGATGAGCTCGATGTTGATGTTGAGGATGTGCTCGATGAGGATGTGGATGTCGACGAGGTCGACGTGCTACTAGTGCTTGTGGAGGTTGTGCTCGTGGATGAAGTGCTGGTGCTCGTCGTCGAAGTAGAAGAGCTTGACGTGGATGTTGACGAGGTACTCGAGGAGGATGTTGAGGTTGACGAAGTCGACGTCGTACTGCTGCTTGTGGAGGACGTGCTCGTAGAGGAAGTGCTGGTGCTGGTGGTTGACGTAGATGAAGATGAGGTGGAGGTTGAAGATGTGCTTGATGAGGATGTTGAGGTCGATGAAGTCGACGAGGTGCTGCTGCTTGTCGAGGAAGTACTTGTGGATGATGTACTGGTGCTGCTGGTGGAAGTAGATGAGCTTGATGTGGATGTTGACGATGTGCTTGAGGAAGATGTTGAAGTTGACGAAGTCGATGAGGTACTGCTGCTTGTGGATGTTGTACTTGTAGATGAAGTGCTGGTGCTACTTGTGGACGTAGAAGAGCTGGATGTCGACGTTGACGACGTGCTCGAAGAAGATGTCGATGTGGAAGAAGTCGACGTCGTGCTGCTGCTTGTCGAGGAAGTGCTTGTAGACGATGTGCTGGTACTGCTGGTGGATGTGGACGACGTTGACGTAGATGAGCTCGATGTTGATGTTGAGGATGTGCTCGATGAGGATGTGGATGTCGACGAGGTCGACGTGCTACTAGTGCTTGTGGAGGTTGTGCTCGTGGATGAAGTGCTGGTGCTCGTCGTCGATGTAGAAGAGCTTGATGTGGATGTTGACGAGGTACTCGAGGAGGATGTTGAGGTTGACGAAGTCGACGTCGTACTGCTGCTTGTGGAGGACGTGCTTGTCGAGGAAGTGCTGGTGCTGGTGGTTGACGTAGATGAAGATGACGTGGAGGTTGAAGATGTGCTTGATGAGGATGTTGAGGTCGATGAAGTCGACGATGTGCTGCTGCTTGTGGAGGTAGTGCTTGTGGATGATGTACTGGTGCTGCTGGTGGAAGTAGATGAGCTTGATGTGGATGTTGACGATGTGCTTGAGGAAGATGTTGAAGTTGACGAAGTCGATGAGGTACTGCTGCTTGTGGATGTTGTACTTGTAGATGAAGTGCTGGTGCTACTTGTGGACGTAGAAGAGCTGGATGTCGACGTTGACGACGTGCTCGAAGAAGACGTCGATGTGGAAGAAGTCGACGTCGTACTGCTGCTTGTCGAGGAGGTGCTTGTAGACGATGTGCTGGTACTGCTAGTGGAAGTGGACGAAGTTGAGGTAGATGAGCTCGATGTTGATGTTGAGGATGTGCTCGACGAGGATGTGGATGTCGACGAGGTCGACGTGCTACTAGTGCTTGTGGAGGTTGTGCTCGTGGATGAAGTGCTGGTGCTCGTCGTCGATGTAGAAGAGCTTGACGTGGATGTTGACGAGGTACTCGAGGAGGATGTTGAGGTTGACGAAGTCGACGTCGTACTGCTGCTTGTGGAGGAAGTGCTTGTAGAGGAAGTGCTGGTGCTGGTGGTTGACGTAGATGAAGACGAGGTGGAGGTTGAAGATGTGCTTGATGAGGATGTTGAGGTCGATGAAGTCGACGAAGTGCTGCTGCTTGTCGAGGAAGTACTGGTGCTGCTCGTGGAAGTAGATGAGCTTGATGTGGATGTTGACGATGTGCTTGAGGAAGATGTTGAAGTTGACGAAGTCGATGAGGTACTGCTGCTTGTGGATGTTGTACTTGTAGATGAGGTGCTGGTGCTGCTTGTGGATGTAGAAGAGCTGGATGTCGATGTTGACGACGTGCTTGAAGAAGATGTCGATGTCGAAGAAGTCGACGTCGTACTGCTGCTTGTCGAGGAAGTGCTTGTAGAAGATGTGCTGGTACTGCTGGTGGAAGTGGACGACGTTGAGGTAGATGAGCTCGATGTTGATGTTGAGGATGTGCTCGATGAGGATGTGGATGTCGACGAGGTCGACGTGCTACTAGTGCTTGTGGAGGTTGTGCTGCTGGATGAAGTGCTGGTGCTCGTCGTCGAAGTAGAAGAGCTTGACGTGGATGTTGACGAGGTACTCGAGGAGGATGTTGAGGTTGACGAAGTCGACGTCGTACTGCTGCTTGTGGAGGACGTGCTTGTCGAGGAAGTGCTGGTGCTGGTGGTTGACGTAGATGAAGATGAGGTGGAGGTTGAAGATGTGCTTGATGAGGATGTTGAAGTCGATGAAGTCGACGAAGTGCTGCTGCTTGTGGAGGTAGTGCTTGTGGATGATGTACTGGTGCTGCTGGTGGAAGTAGATGAGCTTGATGTGGATGTTGACGATGTGCTTGAGGAAGATGTTGAAGTTGACGAAGTCGATGAGGTACTGCTGCTTGTGGACGTTGTACTTGTAGATGAGGTGCTGGTGCTGCTTGTGGATGTAGACGAGCTTGACGTCGATGTTGAAGATGTGGAAGTGGACGACGATGTTGTGGTACTGCTGCTGGTTGATGAAGTGCTGGTAGAGGACGTACTAGAACTACTTGTGGATGTGGAAGATGTTGATGTAGATGTTGAGGATGTGCTTGACGAGGAAGTTGAGCTTGACGTCGTTGACGTAGTACTGCTACTTGTCGATGATGTGGACGTAGTTGACGTGCTTGTACTGCTGGTAGACGTAGAAGAGCTTGAGGTGGACGTTGATGATGTGCTGGAGGAAGATGTAGATGTCGATGAAGTGGAAGTGCTACTGCTGCTTGTTGATGTTGTGCTGGTGGATGAAGTGCTCGTGCTCGTTGTAGAAGTAGAAGATGTTGATGTGGATGTTGACGACGTGCTTGAGGAAGATGTTGAGGTTGACGACGTCGATGAGGTACTGCTGCTTGTGGATGTTGTGCTTGTAGATGAAGTGCTGGTACTGCTGGTGGATGTGGACGAAGTTGATGTAGATGTGCTCGATGTTGATGTTGAGGATGTGCTTGATGAGGATGTGGATGTTGACGAGGTCGACGTGCTACTAGTGCTTGTGGAGGTTGTGCTGCTGGATGAAGTGCTGGTGCTCGTCGTCGATGTAGAAGAGCTTGACGTGGATGTTGACGAGGTACTCGAGGAGGATGTTGAGGTTGACGAAGTCGACGTCGTACTGCTGCTTGTCGAGGATGTGCTCGTAGAGGAAGTGCTGGTGCTGGTGGTTGACGTAGATGAAGATGATGTGGAGGTTGAGGTTGTGCTTGATGAAGATGTTGAGGTCGATGAAGTCGACGATGTGCTGCTGCTTGTGGAGGTAGTGCTTGTGGATGATGTACTGGTGCTGCTGGTGGAAGTAGATGAGCTTGATGTGGATGTTGACGAAGTCGATGATGACGAAGTCGACGTGGTGCTACTGCTTGTAGAAGACGTGCTCGTCGATGAGGTGCTTGTGCTGCTCGTGGAGGTGGTAGAGCTAGATGTTGATGTTGAGGATGTGGTTGATGAAGATGTTGATGTAGAAGAAGATGTTGTAGTGCTGCTGCTTGTAGATGATGAGGTAGTGCTGCTCGTGGACGTAGACGAGCTAGATGTAGATGTCGAAGATGTGCTTGTTGTGGAAGAAGTTGTTGAAGAAGTCGAAGTAGAGCTGCTTGTTGAGGTGCTTGTGCTAGATGTTGACGAAGAAGAAGTTGAGGTGCTTGTGGACGACGAAGTTGTGGACGATGTCGACGTCGTGCTGCTGCTACTCGTGCTGCTGCTAGTTGTGCTGCTGCTAGTTGATGATGTGCTCGTGCTAGTACTTGATGTCGATGAGGATGTTGTGGATGTGGATGAAGTGCTTGTGGACGATGTTGAGGAGGATGACGTCGAAGTCGACGAGGAAGTTGTTGACGTCGTCGAAGTACTGCTGCTGCTGGTCGAAGATGTACTTGTTGATGATGATGTGCTGCTGCTTGTAGAAGTGGATGAAGTCGATGTGCTCGTGGTAGACGAGGAAGTCGAAGATGTGGAAGTTGTACTGCTGCTTGTAGACGAAGTGCTTGTGGATGAACTGCTTGTGCTGCTTGATGTTGTCGAGGAAGTTGATGTGGAGCTTGTCGTTGTCGATGACGTACTGCTGCTGCTGCTTGTAGTAGAAGTGGACGTGGAAGAAGTGGTGCTGGACGATGTCGAAGAAGTGCTGCTGGTGCTGCTGCTTGTTGAGGTTGAAGAAGTGCTGCTGGTCGAGGAGGTGGTTGAGGTTGATGTCGTTGAGGTTGACGTCGTGCCTTGGCTCGATTGCGAAATGTGCTTTTCATTACACAGCTGCTACAACGGACTCACCGATCAGAAATCCTGCTGATACACCAAGCAAGCATGCACGGCTTCCCATACGTGCAAGCAACACGGAAATCTGCCCCCCTGAGACCTGAAAGCTGTTCTGGATGCCACGGAACCTACGGCCTAAGGCAGTGTGGCTTTTTCCAAGGCCACAGCACCGTAATCTCGCAGAGACAGAGCTGGGAGCTGACATGCTCGCGCTAGATTTTGCAAGGAAGCTGCTTGTGCTGCTTGTGGAAGTAGAGGAGCTTGAAGTCGACGTGGAAGAAGTAGTGCTTGAAGAAGTTGAGGAGCTTGTGGTGGACGTTGAAGTGGTGCTTGAAGTAGATGTCGAGGTTGTACTGCTTGTACTTGACGACGAGCTTGTGCTGCTTGTCGAAGATGTAGAGCTCGACGTGGAGGAGGACGTCGTCGTTGTGCTGGATGTCGACGAAGACGAAGTCGACGATGTGCTACTGCTTGTGGATGACGTGCTCGTGCTGCTCGTCGAAGTTGATGACGTTGAGGTGGAGCTTGAGGTGGTACTGGTTGTAGATGTCGACGTCGTTGTACTTGATGACGAAGAGGTGGAGGTCGAAGAGGATGTGCTAGTTGTTGACGTTGATGTCGTACTGGAAGATGTTGAAGAGGAAGACGTGCTACTTGTAGATGTCGAACTTGTAGTGCTGCTTGACGAAGTGCTGCTTGTGCTGCTGGTTGAGGTGGTAGATGTGGAGGTCGATGATGTAGACGTCGTACTGCTGGTTGTTGTGGAAGTCGTACTGCTAGTGGACGAACTGGTCGACGATGTTGTCGACGTGCTCGAGGTAGATGTTGAAGACGTGCTGCTAGTACTTGAGGAGGAAGTTGACGAGCTTGTGGAAGTAGATGTCGAGGATGTGGACGTACTACTGGTAGATGAAGAAGTGCTGCTGGTCGAAGAAGTCGATGTCGAAGAAGTTGATGTCGAGGTAGTACTGCTGCTGGTGCTACTTGTACTTGTGGAAGTTGTGGATGTCGTTGAAGAAGATGTTGAGGTGGATGAAGTGCTGGTGCTGGACGTTGACGATGTAGAAGACGTAGATGTCGATGACGAAGTGGATGAGGTAGTTGTCGACGAGGTTGAGGAAGATGAGGTCGACGATGAGGAGGTGGAGGTAGAACTGCTCGATGTAGTCGTGCTGGTTGATGTCGTGGTCGTGGAGCTGGTGCTTGATGAGGATGTCGTGGAAGTAGATGTGGATGTCGATGTCGTCGTTGTGGTGGATGTCGTCGAGCTTGAAGTAGTACTCGACGAAGTGGAGCTGCTGGTGCTTGAGGAAGACGACGTCGATGTGGAGCTGCTGCTACTTGTCGTGGTGGAGCTTGATGACGTGCTCGTGCTTGTCGTGCTGGTCGAGCTGGAAGACGTTGATGAAGATGACGAGGTTGAGGAGCTGGTGGAGGTGCTGGTGGAGGAAGTGGAGGTGCTACTTGTTGATGAGCTTGACGTGGATGTCGTGCTACTGCTCGTGGTGCTAGTGGAGGATGTGGACGACGAGGTGCTGCTGGTTGTTGTTGTGGAAGATGATGAGGATGTTGTTGATGTGGATGATGAGGTTGTTGAAGACGAGGATGTTGATGAAGTGGAGCTTGAACTTGTAGTTGTCGATGAGGTTGAGGAAGATGAGGTCGACGATGAGGAGGTGGAGGTAGAACTGCTCGATGTAGTCGTGCTGGTTGATGTCGTGGTCGTGGAGCTGGTGCTTGATGAGGATGTCGTGGAAGTAGATGTGGATGTCGATGTCGTCGTTGTGGTGGATGTCGTCGAGCTTGAAGTAGTACTCGACGAAGTCGAGCTGCTGGTGCTTGAGGAAGAGGACGTCGATGTGGAGCTGCTGCTACTGGTCGTCGTGGAGCTTGATGACGTGCTCGTGCTTGTCGTGCTGGTCGAGCTGGAAGATGTTGATGAAGATGACGAGGTTGAGGAGCTGGTGGAGGTGCTGGTGGAGGAAGTGGAGGTGCTACTTGTTGATGAGCTCGATGTAGTAGATGATGACGTTGACGTTGAAGAAGTTGTGCTGGACGATGTGGTCGTCGTACTGCTGCTGGTGGATGTGGATGAACTTGATGTGCTCGTCGTACTGGATGTAGAGGTCGTGGTGCTGCTAGAGGACGAAGTGGAAGTTGACGTCGTGCTGGAGCTTGTCGACGTGGTTGTGGAGGAAGAGCTGGAGGTGGATGTACTGCTGGTGGACGAAGAGCTCGTGCTGGTGCTTGATGAGCTTGTTGTTGAAGAGGAAGTGGAAGTAGACGAAGACGTGCTAGAAGTCGTTGTGGTTGACGAGGAAGTAGAGCTGGATGTGCTGCTGGTCGAACTAGAAGATGAAGTGGATGTGCTTGATGATGTTGTGCTCGTACTTGTTGTAGATGATGTGGTCGTTGAGATACTGGTTGACGAGCTGGATGTAGAAGTCGTCGACGTGGAAGAAGTCGACGTGGAAGAAGTCGACGTGGAAGAGGTCGAAGTGGAGGACGTCGAAGTGGAAGAACTCGAAGTGGAGGTGCTGCTGGTTGTTGTGCTCGACGTCGTGGTCGAGGTTGACGATACAGTGCTCGAGGAGGTGGAAGTTGTTGTAGAGGATGACGACGTACTGGAAGAGGTACTTGTACTTGTACTGCTGGATGTGGTCGTCGAGGTGCTGGTCGTACTAGAGGACGTGGACGACGAGCTTGTGGACGACGTGGTTATAGATGTGCTTGTGCTACTGCTTGAGGACGTGCTAGTGGAAGTCACTGTAGTTGACGACGATGTTGAGGTGCTCGACGTGCTCGACGTGGTGGTGCTGGAGCTTGTGGTTGTTGAGCTGCTACTGCTGCTCGATGTGCTGGTGCTGGTTGAAGTGAACGTGGTGGAAGATGTGCTGCTACTTGATGATGTTGAGGAGCTACTAGTTGTGGTAGACGATGTGAAAGTACTGGTGCTTGATGAGGTTGACGTTGAGGAGGTCGTAGAAGTGGTCGAGGATGATGACGTCGAGGAGGACGTGCTACTTGATGAAGTCGTGATCGTACTTGAGGTGGTGGACGAAGTTGTGGAGCTGCTTGTCGTAATTGTGGACGTCGAAGACGTGCTTGTTGTTGATGTACTTGTGCTACTCGTTGACGATGTGCTTGTCGACGTGGATGTGCTCGTTGAGGATTTGCTTGTTGAACTCGTGGAAGAGGTTGATGATGTTGCAGTGGTTGAGCTGCTTGTGGTGCTGCTCAGGCTTGTTGATGAAGACGAGGATGACGTGGAACTTGAAGACGTCGTTGAGGTCGACGTGCTGATGGTAGAGCTTGTAGTCCTGCTTGTTGTTGTGGTAGTGCTTGTGATGCTCGTGGTAGTTGTGGACGTCACACTCGTTGAAGTTGTCGACGTGGACATGGAGGTAGTACTACTCACAGTGGAGGATGTCGTGGTACTTGTAACACTGGTGGTGCTTGTTACAGATGTAGTTGATGTAAGGGTAGTTGTGGAAGTCACGCTTGTCGATGATGTCAGCGTTGTCGACGTCGTGACCGAGGTGGTACTGCTGACGCTTGTCGATGTTGTGCTGCTTGTAGCAGTGGTGGTGCTTGTGACAGATGTAGTCGATGTCAGGGTGGTTGTTGAAGAAATGCTTGTCGATGATGTCTTTGTTGTCGACGTGGTGAGCGAGCTGGTGCTGCTCACACTTGTCGATGTAGTGGTGCTTGTTACAGATGTAGTTGACGTAAGGGTAGTTGTGGAAGTCACGCTGGTCGATGATGTCAGCGTTGTCGAGGTGGTGACCGAAGTAGTGCTGCTGACGCTTGTCGATGTTGTGGTGCTTGTAACACTGGTGGTGCTTGTGAAAGATGTACTCGAGGTAAGGGTAGTTGTAGAAGAAATGCTGGTTGATGATGTCAGTGTTGTCGATGTGGTGACCGAGGTGGTGCTTGTGATAGATGTGGTTGATGTAACGGTAGTTGTAGAAGAAATGCTGGTCGAGGATGTCAACGTTGTCGACTTGGTGACCGACGTGGTGCTGGTCACGCTTGTTGATGTTGTGGTGCTTGTACCAGAGGTGCTACTTGTGACCGTTGTTGTCAAGGTGGTTGTGGACGAAATACTGGTCGATGATGTCACCGTTGTCGACGTGGTGACCGAAGTTGTTGATGTTAAGGTGGTTGTGGCAGTCATGCTGGTCGATGACGTCAATGTTGTGGAAGTCGTGCCACTGGTGGTACTCGTTGCAGAGGTCGTTGATGTGACCGTAGTCGTAGATGTCACAGTGGTCGCAGATGTGGTTGCAGTTGTGGTACTAGTAACAGTGGTTGTGCTGGTTGCCGAAATCGTTGACGTCAACGTTGTCGTGGACGTCACGCTGGTCAGTGTTGTGGATGCTGTGACAGAGGTGGTGCTGCTCACTGTTGCAGTGCTGGTGGTAGTTGTCGCCGAGGTACTTGATGTGGCTGTAGTCGTAGATGACACACTGGTCGCGGATGTGGTTGCAGTTGTGGTGCTAGTAACAGTGGTTGTTGCGGACGTCGTCGATGTGAGGGTTGTCGTGGACGTCACGCTGGTCAATGTTGTGGATGCTGTGGAAGAGGTCGTGCTGCTCATAGTCGCGCTGGTGGTGGTTGTCACCGTTGTAGTGGTAGCCTGATCTTCGTTCCGACTCACCCAGGCTTCGAAGCACAAGAACCATGAACCCTCACTTATGTATGGACTGCCCAAGTCACCGCTTGAAGTCGGCGGCCAATGCCGCCAGGATCGGCTCCTTCTGGTTGGGACCGTGGGAGAGGAAACGATTCGTGGTTGTGATGGCTGGGCATTCCACCTTGAGAACAAGTAGTCCCAAGCACAACAGAACATAGTCGGGCAGACTGCCTCCAGTCCGCGAACCTCACACATACCGGCCTGCTACAGCATCCATCGATACGTCAGCCACCTGTGTCATTAAGCCGAAACCAGACTTGATGTCACAATAAAACCACACTCATCACCGACCTACAAGATGCAAAACCAGATCCCCTCTTCAAGCAGCAAGTTCCACAGGTGCTGCCAAAGTATACGAAGACAATGTGTAATGCAACGTAGTCATAACAATAGTAGTAATAAGACTGAGACATCATACAAATAGAAATAATAAGTAACACATAAGACTAAGAACCAATACGGTATGCGAAGCCAACACTGACAAATTGACTGAAGCATCATGCAACAGACCAAGGGTCCCGGTAGATGCGTTTTGTGCGCTGCACCTCGTCTTGTTATGTCACGTGCTTGGTGTTCCATTCCTCGTTGGTGGTTCATCCCAGCCTTCTTGGCCGTTCGACCCCAAATGACTAGTGTCAAATGGTTCCTTTACATTTGAACTGCAGCACCTGCTTGTTCGCTGAGTGTAAGTTCCGAACTGTATAATACCCCTGAGCCTGTCAACAAGTTTCACAATCCTTATGTCTCCTACGTTATGGTCCTTCAGCTGCAAAACACATTCGACGAAGCCCTTAAGCAGAGTTGCAGTCAAAAGGGCCAACACAAACCCCTGCAAAAAAAAAAAAAAAACAGGCCTTACTGAGAATATTAACCGGGAACTGATAAATGTTTCATAGAAATGTCACAACATGATTAAATCACGCTAGCTCCAGCACTCGACTGGGAGTTTCAGAGTACCTTCGCAAGATATGCTGGAACCTGTCCGCGACAGTATTGCCATGACTTTGCACCAAACATTGTGACATCATCCTCGTTCCATGTCGAACACTCCTAGAATCTCAGAAAGGGGTCTCAGGAGCATTTGAACAGGAAGCTCATCTCAAAATTTGCAGCTATTCCCTGGCAGGCAGACTGCTCTGGCCGACTCGAAGCATCTGCTCCCTTTCTGCGACTGACTCACTCCAGACCAAGCATGCTCTTTGTTAATCTGCAATTGTTCTGTCTCATCTTGAGATGGGGTCGGGTCGATTACAGCATCACATGTGACTTTGCCGCCTACATACAAGTTTCCTTTTAAGGACTTAGTTGCAGGCCTGCTTGCTTCCCAGTGACAAATAGGACGGGGCAGACAAGTTGTGCAAGGCAAGGGGTCGACAGGAACATGCAAGAGCTGCTGTTCATAACCACTCCACATAGACTCTTCTAGATCCGGGGTCCAGGGCTGCTGTCAAAACTGCAATGCGTCCGAACACCAGCATCCCAGAGGGGCCCTGTCCTGCTGGCCGATGTGCATCTGCCGTATTGGCAGATGTGAAAGCTGATCCAATTTCAAGATCACCTCCAACAGGGTGAAGGTCCGTAGTCTTTGGTCTTGGGACTGTTAACCCTTAGTAACCTAATAAAAATGACTATCCAAGCCCACCAAGTCGAACACGCTGCAAGCTGCAGGGGCTTTCGATACAAAGGATGTTCTGTTCCTTCGGCGGTGATATACTATATAAGGACAATTGCAACCCCTGCAGAAAGTCCGAAGCAGAAGCCCTTGGAAAGGCCACGTGCTAGCAAGCTGCGGAACATTGACGGTGTGAAACCGACGCTCTGCTCTGCATGAACGTCGTCCTTTGGCTCGAGCCGCTGTCGGTTAAGGAGTTGGGGATTGAAAGGATTTCGGTCCTGCAGCTTCACTGTGGCCAAAGCCGTAAAGTACACACACTGTTTCCGCTGGGTTCATACACCGGCTGACGCCGCATCATGGAATTGCCTCCAAGAGTCTTGGAAAAAAGTCGGAGATTGTAATTTGGTGAAAGCATGACCTTGGACACGGTCTTGACAAGCACGAACAACGCGACATGCAAACTATGACGTGCTTGCTCTGCCCCTTCCGTCCCTCACAACTTACCGAAATCTCTTTTCCTCTCTCTCACTCCCTGTCTCTGACCCTTTCTTCCTTCCTTCCCCCTCTCTCTCTCTCTCTCTCTCTCTCTCTCGCTCGCTCGCTCGCTGCAGGGGTCATGTCCCAAGGACCCGGGCCGAGGCCCCCCCTTTCTCCACACGATTGTGGAAGAGGGGCATTGGGGTCTTTCTACACGGAGAGTTTCCCCCGAGGCCTGTTTGGGTTGTGGAGATTGCCTGACGGACAACCCCCCCTAGCCCTGAACATTAGCCCGCCTCCCGGCCTCGTCTCCGCGCCCTCTACGGCTATATCCTTAGACCCTCGTCAGGCAATTTCTTCCCCCCTAAGTTACGTAGTTCGGCAGCCTTCCCCCTTCTTTGAAGCAACACTCTAAGGGCCATGCAGTGCAGGATCATAGTACGAGTACGGTGTTGGGCTAGGCTGCTCGGGATCCTTCCCCCTCGCTTCCCCAGCTCTCTCTCTCTCTCGCTCTCTCTCTCTCAGGAGCCCCGGCCCAGCTGACGTACTCTCCACGTCACGTTGCCAAGGTCGGGAGCCTCCGTCCCCTGCCAACTCAACGCTTGCAACATGAAAGGATGCCAAGGCTGAAGCGCGACTGAACGCTACAGTACTCCAGGCTACAGACAAACCCCCGTGTGCTCCCAGTGCCTCTGCATGGTGAGATTGACTCGCAGGGAGGAACCTGGAAACCATGGAGACGAAGCACTGGGCCCTAGGCTTGCCGCTGCAACTCAGAGCACGGTGAAATAGCAGGCTCTTGCAGTTCCTGTCACGACTTTGGCTACCAGGAGTCTCGTGCAAACATCATTCGCGAACATATTCGCAATGGGTCTGCTGCTATTGCAGCTACCAGCACTTCTATTGCGACACCTACTGCTACTGCTGCCTCTACTACTGCAACTACTGCTACTACAGCTTCTACGTCTAGTGCTACTCTGCTACTGTGCTTCTCGTCTGCTGCTCTGCCACTCCTACTCTGCTGCTCTGCTCCGACACTCTGCTGCTCAGCAGCAGCAGCAGATGATAAAAGAAAAAACACCAATGGTAGTCGGCAGTGGCAGCCGCAGCCGCAGCAGAAGCAGCAGTAGCAGCAGTAGCCACAGCAGCAAGAATAATAACAATATAACAACAATAATCAGACCGCTACACCTACTAATACTACTATTGCTATTGCTACTACTACTACTACTACCACCACAACCCATACTACAACTACTTGCCTGCTTCCTCAACAACACCAACACTCACCACCAAGACCACCAACACAACCAACACCACCAACACCAAAACTAGAGTTTGTTAGTCATATGGCCATGACTTCCCACCACCCTGCTTCCGAGCTTGCCTGAGAAGTGCAACAGCCAGCACGCTCGCCAAGACGAATCCATAAGCGCACGCGTGCACCTGCAGTGGAGATGTGCCGACAACAGCCCAAACCCTTTTCATCGTGTTGCTGCAAGACTGTAATTGGACAACCCAGGAGAGGCAAAGATGTATGACTAACGCAGCCATCCCACAAACAACAAAGGCTAAAGACTGTTCAAAAACCAATCGGGCACCATCCCTGCAGCTCGGGTTTTGGGTTCAAGAGCCCCTGCAGGTTTCGTGACAACCGCGGTCACTCGAGTTTCCTATCCTCGCACTCAGAATATGAACTATGCTATCTAAAGCATCCCTCCCGCGATGTTTGGCGTGCCTTCTGCGGGACTGCCATCAGCCACGATGCGAATCCATGACAACCGGGATCGGCTGTGCTTCTTAAAGACTTACCGATACCGGCACTGAAGTTTACAGCAACGGGAAGCTGTTCGACTGCTGGCACTTGCAGGTGCAGAGTGCTTCGATGCAACCCCTGACGGTGGGCACTAGCTTCGCCCCGAACTTCTTCCGATAGATCGTAGTTAAGTAAGTATATAAAAGCGTAAACCAACCAAGCTTAAACCCAGTCTGTGACTGCGAGACAGCCTGTTGCTGTTGACAACTGCTGAAGTCACCTACAGGCCTGTGATCTGGCCTCTACATATAGGCTGCGCACGGATGTTCCCAGTTGCCGGTCCAAAAAACAAAACTCTTCGAAAATGGAGCAATTCCGAAGGCCTCTCCGGAAAATAACCGTGTAAAAATCAAAAGATCCCCGGGAGCATGTCGCCTTACTCGGCTCTTGCTTGCTTGAAGATTCGAAGGTTTTGGATTTGTGGGGCCCCAGGGTGAAACTCGGAGGGTCTATTTTCGTTCAATGGCCGCAGGTTCAGCTGTTTGAGAGTTTGATCGGGGTTTAGCTGGTGTTGATGGTTTGGGCAGTCGCTCCAATGATGTATGTTTCGAATCGCTGCCCTGGAATTCCTCACGCAAAGAACGGACCTCTACTGATTCTCCGGCCGTTTCAGTCGCACAAATTGACAGGCCAGGCTTTTTGCAGATATCTGAGGTCGGTGCCCGTAGCATGCAAACACTGTAACAGCTGGACACAGGAACGCCAAAAGTTGCATTACTACGCGCAGCGCGACAAAAGCCATGCCAGAGGTGAACTCTAACGAGCCTTCACCCACTCTAGAACGGTGGCACGGAAACCACTTATTGAATTCTGTTCCAATGGAAGAAGGCCTTTACATTGAGGTAGGGAAATAATCGGCACTACCAGGCATGCTCGTTGCCACATGCAAACTTTAAATAGAAACTGGGGTCGCGAGCTTTGCACATGACTCGGCTAAACTTTAAGCTGTTCAATGCAGGCTACAACGGCGGCACACCGCCTGCTCACTGAAAGATCTTGTCGCAAACATAAGCGTTAACTGATTCCCCACGAGCCCCACACATGTGTTGATCTCCAAACCTGGACTCTGAGACTTGGCTCGCTGGTGTGCTGAGCCTGGGTTCACCCCGTTGATGTGCTGCGGGCCATTGGCTCCACATCTTGGAACCTTCCAGCGTGTGGCGCATGTTGGACACCTGCTCTGTTTCGTTCTGCCAACTACGGGCAATCTGCGTTGCATCGAGCACTTATCCAGGGCTCATCGAGCATACATCGAACATTCATCGAGTGCATCGTCGTTTCCCGCCTAACACTGAAAGGGTGTTTTGTGTCGTGCAAGTATAGTCTATGACCCATATGACCAAACTTGCCACACTGGGCCGACAAGTTCCGACAAGGGATGACTGCTTGGGCAAGCCACCGCAATACAAAAGGAGTGAAAAGCTGTAAATGGATAAGTAGCTAAAAAATTTGTGTTAATGGAAATCGGCAGGGGGGTCTTCGCGCCAGGCACGCAACAAGTCACAGCACGAAACAACTTGAAAGGAAACCTCGCTTCTGGACGCCAAGCCGCAAGATCTGCTGGTTGTCCAAACATTTGAAAGCGCAAAAAAGCATCGAGTAACTACGCACTGAAAAGTATTTCTGATGGCGGCTGCATGCAGTTGATGTTTCAGGGTTTGCATGTCGCTAAATTCATTAGATGGTCAATGGCCAGGAACCATGGCCGTATGCTACATTTCCTGAGTGGCCACACCTTTGGAGGTGCAGCCTGCCTTTGCACACGGAACGAGTGCACTTTCACCAGCATTGTACCATTCTTTGCGTGAAACGGCCTCGGCTGTTCATCTAGTGTTAGTCTGACATCACATATAATAGTCTTAACACAGTAGCATTGATTGTACTTTATGATAAAACTATATCAATAGCACTGATTACTAATTAACAAGCATAATACCAATTGGACCACCTATGGTAAACGGACTATATGAAAGATATAATATAGCGGATAACATTAGTTGTGAAATAGTATCTGCGTGAGGGTTTGGTATCGTTGACGTTGTACATAGTCGCTCACCTCACCGACCTTACCGGTTGTGGTCGCCCTTGCAAACGTCAGTGGTTCCACAAGCTCTCTGTCACTTCCCTGCAGGCAAACTCGGACGGACTGTTTTCTCGCCAGAAATACGCCAATACGCGACCGGTTGTCTGTGCACGGGGAATGGCTCTTATTGCTTTCAAATCGTGCTTGCAATGTTTGATCTCGTGATGTATTTGAGCTTTCAGGGACAGACACTCCAATGCTTGAGACTCAAGTACATGCGACATGTCTGCGCTACCACATAAGCTCTTCTCACACAGTGAGGTAATCAGTACCGAACACGGCTGATCGAAAGTTCAATCTGTCCTGTGAGACACAAGACTCTTTTGCCCCCACTGACACAGAGTCGCAGTGTCACGCAATCAACTTCGAAGCTCTCTCTACTATCGCTAAGACGATCTTTGTAGCCTCAACCGAGTCGTCCCTGAACCAAAACTTCTTGACCAAGTCCAGCTTAATCCTTGATGGTGGGTCCGCCAAGTTGGCGATGCCACTCTTGCATACCAAGGCAACATACCATGCACGTACTCCAAGAAATTGACATCATCTACAAGAATTCCTGCAACTCCTTTCTTGGTAGAGCCTGCGATGTATGCATGCCGTGCAGCATCATTGTGAATGTAATAGATGACTCCTGTACCTGCGGTTGCGCTTGGCTGTGAATAAGCCTCTGCGAAGGCAGCAAGTTTTTCTACCAGCAACTTTAATCCGACGAGCATTCCAAACATCTCAAGCTCATATATGATGGATGGTCTGCTCTTCAATGCGCCGATAGGTGATCGACTGATCGACCTGTTGGTCCGACATCGGAACACTGAAGAAAGAAATGGCCGAACCACTACCTGTCAACAGGACGCCACCCAATCCACCAATTCTTGCCACGCTTTCGAAGGCAGCATGCGTAAGTGTCATGAATGTCCTGCATGACACCTGTCCCACTAGCCTCGGTTGCGCGGCTTCCAGAAACTTGCCAAATTCTTCGAGGCGTTCTTTGGCGGACGTTGGATGGCACTCTACAAAAGAGTGGTGGTCAGGAAAAGATTCCAGGAATGCTGCCACTGTCACAGAGCTCATTGAGGACAGGCCGGCCCTGCAGCCCGCCACATGGAACGGAGCCACTCGTTCTCAGCTGACTCGAGCACCTGCATCTCCAAAATATGAAGGTGAATTGCGGAACTCCGATGTATCGTGTAGCTGCCTGCACCATGGTCAAGAATTGGTGCCGAGGCCGAGGCCAGAAGAGCCCATGCGGACCCCATCCAGCCTAGAGTAAAGCACAGCTGCGTGTTGTGGTCCACGTACGGCCAAAATTAGGCCGTTTCTGCGCCGGAGCTTCCATTCCATCGGCACAGCGGGGCTGAGTCGCGAATTAAGGCATCTAACAGAATGTCGGAGCCGTCTGTCATCCATCCAGACATGTCAAAAGTAACAGGTAGGGACTGCGCAGCGGCTCTTTTTAAAGCAAGAACACAGCACACCTTATATATTGTACGCCATTCTTATAACCAATGTGGCTTCATGTATCATGCGGGCCTTTCCTTAAGTCCACTCGAATATGTCTTTCAATCGCATATATATAAAGTGGAAATGAGGCCTGTTAGAGAGCTTACCAGTCTCATAGAAAAAGCAGCACTCGGACAAACTACGCTCAACAGGTTCTTTTCTTTCGGTTTGGCAAAGCCTCTCGGGGAAAGAAGTGCATGCTCCGGATCCCCCTCGGGATCCCAACACATGTTGGCACTTCGCCAACAGCCCCTCCGGGCTCGTGGAAAAGTTATGGGGCATCTTTCACCCCGCAAAGTTTGGGTGGGAGTGGTGGGTACAAACTTTGCTGCACGGAAGGTTCCCGCCCACCCACCCTATGTTTGAGCATGCGCGGAACAACAAAGATTCATAAAAGTTCAAATGGAATCTCATGACACATGAAGCGGTTTCGAAAAACTTCTTCAAAACTTTCGAAACCTACCAAAAAGGTTATAAAGCCTTATGGGACTAGTTTGTGATTTTTAGCGTCCCAAAAACGGCTTATAACCAATGTGGCTTCATGTATCATGCGGGCCTTTCCTTAAGTCCACTCGAATATGTCTTTCAATCGCATTTATATAAAGTGGAAATGAGGCCTGTTAGAGAGCTTACGAGTCTCATAGAAAAAGCAGCACTCGGACAAACTACGCTCAACAGGTTCTTTTCTTTCGGTTTGGCAAAGCCTCTCGGGGAAAGAAGTGCATGCTCCGGATCCCCCTCGGGATCCCAACACATGTTGGCACTTCGCCAACAGCCCCTCCGGGCTCGTGGAAAAGTTATGGGGCATCTTTCACCCCTGCACTCTTTGCCCCGTGACTTTGAGAACTCTGCCGCTTATGAAGCACACAATCCGATCTTCGAAGTACTCGCCGAAAACAGGGAATCTCCAGTCGGACCGCGAAGGCCCATCGCCGGGGTTCGACTTGCTCGGGACCCGAGCGAACCACGAGATCGCTGGCCCCATCGAGTCGGCACACTCGTAGTGAAGCAAGATGCTCCTCCAGAGATCATCGCGGGAAGACCCTTTGATCATCGCAGACAAAACACCACTGTGATCCACGTAAAAGACGACCCTCTGATCATTCAGGAAATCTTTCCAGACATGTCTGGCCGCCACCACCGCGAAAAGCTCGGTAGGACCTATCAGGTGTCTCTTGCCCAGTCCCGCCCATTGCTCGACGACCGATTCGTCCAGGTAGCACCCGAACGCCCTCGTCTCGCGGAAGCCAGTTGGAAGCACCCGATACATGACACCTCCGATTGAGCAGCTAAACTTGTCCCCCAGCTTGTCGCATGCACCGTCAGTGAAAACAAGAGTCTGGCCGCCAATGGGAAGAACCTGGATCTCGCGCGGCCTGCCCTCAAGCATCCTCTCCCTCAAGCTTCTGAAGACCGTGGCGTCCAGGGAAGACAGAACATGACGGTGACGAGCACTCGAGAGCCAGCGAATCTGAGCCAAAGCCAGGCGCCCCTGTCGTCCCATCAACTGACTTTCCGAAAACTGTATCCGGCCAAACAAAGAGGGGATCTGCTTCGGATCAATACAGCCATCCGCAAGGATCTTATCGATCGAAGAGGCAATTTCCTTGGATCTTTCTGGCTTGTTTTTGACCCTCAGCACTCCGCCCTCCATATCCGTCGCATCCAGTCGGACGCCCAAAACATCGGCCGTCGGTGAGAAGGGAAGGTCCTTGTCGCTCGCCCAATCAACTCCAAAAAGGCGCAATGCTGCCTTCACGGAGGAGTCATGGTTTTCTTTCAAAAACCTGATGTTTCGCAAAGGTCGAGTGATATCAGATATCACGTATCAAAGCGATGCCAATCATATAAAAATCAATCCATCTCGGAATATGGCAAGATCAATCAGTAAAAGATATATTGTATCAGAAATCCTCACAATGTAAGTTAAATGAGGATTCACAGAACTCTCGCGCCACACTCTTTTTATTCGCACGGTGATCAAGGGTGAATTCTGATTCAGGAGCCCCCACAGCTCCGGCCAAACCGATGATCAAGCATCTCGGGTTTGGCAAGCTGAGATTTCCAAGATCAAGGGAGCAGCGTCCTGAATGCCCCCCGTCCGTATTGGGTGGGAGGGTGGGAAAGAAAAATTTCTTGCCTCTCTCTTTGAGCAGACTCGCGGGAAAGCCAAAGGTATCCGATCTGCTTATTCAAAGACAATGAAAGTTCTCATGCAAGAAATGTTCTTCAAAACTCACATGCAAAACACGGCAGCTCTGCTGCCTGTCAGGTTTTTAAAAGAAAGAAAAGTCTGCAAGCAGAAAATGTTCTTCTTTCAAAAACCTGATGTTTCGCAAAGGTCGAGTGATATCAGATATCACGTATCAAAGCGATGCCAATCATATAAAAATCAATCCATCTCGGAATATGGCAAGATCAATCAGTAAAAGATATATTGTATCAGAAATCCTCACAATGTAAGTTAAATGAGGATTCACAGAACTCTCGCGCCACACTCTTTTTATTCGCACGGTGATCAAGGGTGAATTCTGATTCAGGAGCCCCCACAGCTCCGGCCAAACCGATGATCAAGCATCTCGGGTTTGGCAAGCTGAGATTTCCAAGATCAAGGGAGCAGCGTCCTGAATGCCCCCGACATCACGCGAACCCCTGATGAAGGAATCTCTGGTTTGAGCTTTCATCATGGATGAAAGCTTCCACGACCTTGGCGCCTACCAAGCTGAGGATGCTGTGCCCCTCACCTCGTGAAGGGGGATCGGCTATGTTGGAAAAGGAAGGCACTCTCTCGTACCAAGCGATACAAGGCGCCTCAGCTTCGATCACTGCAAGATAATGGGCGAGGCGATACATCGACTCGCTCTGGCTCAAACCTTTGATGGCTGAGGTGCGTGCTGCTTCGTTGTCAAGCCAAAAGATGACTCTTCTGTTGCACAAGCTGTTTTGGAGCATGCGACGCAGAGTGACCAAAGCGTAGAGCTCGATCTCGCATATGAGTTGCGACCCCACATCTAGCTTCCAGCGTTCCAAAAGCTTAGCGGGTACACAACCGGCAAAAACCCTGGCACTATCATCTAGCGTGTCAAGAACAACCGCACCAATTCCAGCCCAAGGGTCTTCCCAAGCTCCATCCGTCCAAACATGAATGGGCGGTCGAGGGTCAAAGATGCGAAGGACTCTAGGTGGAGTGGTGCTCAAGACAGCCTGCGTAGTTTTGCAGAAGCGCTTTATTTCGGCAGCCGTTTGGCGCTTCCCCCTTACCAAGGAGAGCAGGAAGTGGCACGCTGGCTTCAAGGATCGGCCTGCAAAGAAACCTGAGGCATAGTTCAAGAGTCCAAGGAGAACTTGCGCCTCATGCCTGCCCAGGGCCCCCTTGTCAAAAATGCTGCCCAGCATTTCGGAAATGCGCTTGACACGGCCTTCCTTGTTTGCCAGCACGGCAGCACCTTCGTGCAGACGACTGATGTCCAGCTGCATTCCGAGGACTGTGAAGGCCTCCTCGTACGGTTGACCCTTTACCCCGGTCTGGGCGAAGCGCCACCCCAGCAGTTCTAGGAATTCGGAAGTTAAACCATCAAGCTCGTGGGCCCCATCTCTCAAAGTGAAGAGAGGGTAATCGTCGAAGTAGTTGGCTGAAGGGATCTTCAGCACTTTGGCCAGCAGGAAATGCAAGCTTCTAGCCACTCTTACAAATCCATACACCGACGATGTCAAGCCGAACATCAGTGCGTTCGCAATAAAGAATTGCGGTTCGCCATCTTCATTGGGATGGCAGATGACGGCGATGTCACGGTGTTGCGGGAGTACCCCTAGTTGTTTATAAGCTTTTGAGAGGTCTAGGGTCCGACCCACCCACTTCCTCGCAGCGACACCTAGGCGCTCTGAACGTTCCTTTTCGGCCTGGGAGATCAGCAGAGCCAGACCCGCGACGAAGTCGGCCCCTTGAAGTTCCAGCTTAATCAAGGAAGTGAAAGCCTCATTGACCTGCGAAGCATGCCCATCATCTATGGGTCGAATCTTCTTTTCAAGGCCTTGCTCAAGAACGAACCTGGGAATGATGCCCCAATCCGAATGGCCGAAAATTTCAGTGACCTGGGCTTCGGTGTAGGGTCCCTCTATGAAGTTATCGGTAACCTCGGAGTTAGAGGCCTCCTGAAGAAGCGAAATCTCTTCAGGGGTCGCACGGTTCGGTTTTGACAAGGCAGCACGACGGCGCAAAGAGGCAGTGGCTCTGAGTTCTGATTCGGACATGGAAGCCATGGCCACCTTGGTCTTAAAGCATTCAGGTTTTTCCGAAGTTCCTACCAAAGGCACCCCTTTCTTCATCAGATCCACTACCCCCATGTCGTCAAAGCCATGATTTCTCAAGAGAGACTCCCACAAGCAAATCCTTTTTCCTTTGACCACCTTCTCGAACCAAGGCGGGAAGGAGGCATGAAGTTTTGTCTCTTCTTCTTCAAGGGATTTGGCAAGGAGCTTCACCTTAAGGAGCTCAAGCTTCCTAAGCTGATTAGCTTTGGCAGAGTCATGCGCCATGCAAAAGTTGACGGCTTCCCACACAGGTGGGTCAACTGCGATCGCCTTGTCCACAGGATGCTGCAAAGTTCGGGCTTTCGAGACATGTTGATCCATATTGAGCCAATGGCCTACCTTGACAGGTTTCAAGTTCTTTGGATCCGAAGTCTGACCCCCACTATCCCCCTCAACGTGGGTCAGGAGGATCTTGCAAGACTTATCTGGCTTGAAGCGGGGAGTTTCCCAGGTGACCTTGTGAAACTCCGGAATGAGCGGGGCATGCCGCCTGCTTTGCTTGGCTGCTGCAGCCATGGCCTTTGCATGGAAGTCATCGGGCGCCGTGAGGACCCGGCCCGACTGTGATGCCAGAGAAGAGACACAGTCTGCCATGCGTGTGCACAGCAAAGGCGGATAGCACGCACTGAGGCGGGAGTGCGACCACCATGGAGCATGCTCATGATCTTTGCTGCACTTGGCTGCCAGAGGGGAAAAGAGGCCTTTGGAAGCCAGAAGCTTGCACTGCTTGGGGCGGTCACCCCCATGCGCACACATGGCAAAGGTAACCTGTTCAAGTTGGCTAGGCGGCCACCTGATGGCAGCCTGAGATGCAAAGCGTTGGAAGACATGCCACAGCAAAGAGTTGGCCGGGTTTTCGACACTGACTGAAATGTTGGCGTCGAGGCATAAGCAAATGACATCGAAGCAGAACCGGAAAAGGGCATTTTCCTTCCTAAGCTTGATGCCTTCGGCAGAAGACCACACGATCTGGGGCACACCCAAGCAATGTGTCGGCGTCCGAAGCGTGCTCAAACGGGCGCCCTGTGATCGGCTATCGGGTTTCGCGGCCCGCTGGGAGGCTGACGCAGAACCTGCCGGCACCCCTAGGTGGACGTGAAAAGGTTTGCACTGCTTCAACATTGACATAAAGACCTCGCGACCTGCGTCTGTGGAGAAGTCAAGATTTGCAGTAGGGACCATGGCCCCGGCTAATTTAGCATCAAAGGCTAGAACCTTGAAGCCTTTCCGGAGGCAAGCTCGAGCGAAACCCCCAGTGCCCGAAAAGATCTCGAAGATCCACGTGTCATCAGGTCGCGGGGGCTGCGCCTGCTCGGCGATCTGAAGTGGGAAACCCAAGGAGGTCGGGGGCCTAAACCCAAGGGACAAAAGGGAATGTGCATCGGCAACAGGAAGTTTGGACAAATCAGAGACACAAAATGCCACAGCGATCAGTCTTTTGCCATGCCACGGTTCGGTACAATGGCCTCGGGAATAAGCCTCGAAGGTGATGGGTCCAGCAGACACATCAAGCAATTCGCCAGCGGTCGGTGTGCCGTTGATGGGGCGCATAACCGAACCATGGTCACACTGGGCCCAGATGTGGCCTCCTGTGAACGCTCCGATCGGTATGACACCAGTGGGGGACTTATGATTCTTGGAATCTACATGCATTGATGTCATGGAATTGCAAAACAGGAAAACAGTAGTAAAGAAAAGATCGGGAGTTGAGCTCGCACGAAAGCTGTGATAGCTTTGGTCGTTTGTGGGAAGTTCTTACACTCACCACGCAGACCTTGAAGCCCTCCCTGGGAAAAAAGCCCCAACCCCAAAATTCGGTTGCTGAGTTCTGGCGTCAGGACGTAGCAAGCCATCCGCAACAATATGTTCATGCAACTTTTGCAAGTCAAGACGGGACGGCGGCACATTGACTGAATTAAGAGTCTTCGCGAAAGACTCTGAGCATGTAGCTCGGCTTGCAACGTGGGCCAAGGGAGCTGCCTCAGGAGCTGGCCCACCTCCCGATTGGCTGGGTCACTGCATGCCATGCGTACATTCACTGTACGGGTGATTCTTGTTGCAGCCTATTTTCCAACACTGGTGAAATCCTTTCGGACACCTACCTTTCACCACCTTGGCCTTACAGGTGCCCAAGTTAAACCCAAAACAATTCGGCCGGTTCTGCGAATCACGTGCGGAACAACCTTCAGGTATCTCGATCCTTGGTGTTTTGCCCTTGCCCCCGCCTTTGTTGCCTTTGTCACCTTTGCCTTTAGTCTTCTTGGACGGTGCATCGTCGTCACCATCCTGGGGCCTCTTGGTAGGATGGGCCGGCGGAGGCGGGGTGAGCAAGGGTGACAAGAACTGCGTGATGTCATGTGACACAGACAAACGCTTCAGCTCTGCATCCAACGGCTTGGTAGCTCCCACTGGTTTCTGGAGCTTTCCTTCAAGGTTGTTCGCTGCCCTGATGAAGAGTTCCTTATCTGCTGCTACAATCTGGGACAAGGAGACCTTGGTGTACCCGGTGGGAACCTGCCGCTGGGTCAGTTCGAAGATGGTGTTGACCCACTCCTCCACCACCTCAAAGGTGCAGAGGTTCCCTAGGTCCAGAGCTAGCGAGCGGCGAAAGAAGGCTTGCCGAAGCGCATAAGCGCCATTTGTGTCGCAAACCGGATCCGGGACCTTAGTGCCTAGCTTGAGGTTTCCCTCCGCGTCGATTTGGATCGACGAGTCCTTCTTTGCCAAGCTCAGCTCCTGTGACCGGGAGGTCCACCTGTTCATCGGCAGATACCGCAAGGAGTTGTTTTCCAACATGTCGGTGACCTGATCAATGCTCGCATGGGATGGCTGGTTCGACACCGTGAAGACGACTCCCTTCAAGCGAGCCTGCTGAGCTTCTTGTCTGGCTATTCGTTCAGCAGTGGGAAGTTTCTTGATTGTGTTTTCAGGCTGGCCTTCCACACGGGTCCGCAAGTCAGCTATGTTGAGCGACTGGCTTTCAAATAGGAGCCGCCTGATCACCGAAACCTGGAACGCTGAAGGCCTTGGATCTACGACCGTGGCCAACCACACATCGATGGCCTCATCGGTAAGGGCCTGCGGGGAGCTCGCAGCAGCAAAGGCGATCTTCCCGAAGGTGTCATAGCCCTTATCTTTGAGCTTGCCATACAGCTCCGGCGTCATGCCGATTCGGAGACACCTTTCTTGAAAAGCAGCCTCCGAGTCCAAGGTGGCCGACGTCATGGCTGCAAGCGATCACGATTAAACCCCCGAGTTCGGTGATCTTGGATCAACGTTTGACAGGTGATGCTCTCGTGCCAGCAACCGTCATGGTCCTCCGCTGTGAGCCACGGCCGCAATAAGGGCAGCTCAATCATCCACCCGTGCCACGGGCCAACCCTGGCCGGCACAAGGCGATACACGATCACAAGGCCAGCCCCGGGTATCGTGAGATACCGGCTGACATTTGCATGTGGTGACTCGGACTTACAGTCATCACCGCGTTAATCAATCCCAGCGCTTCTCTCTCAAGCCGTCATGGGTCAAACCGACAAGTTCTGTCGTCAGATATATCACTCGGGTCTCGGGTGAGAAACTCACCGACCCAGATCACAAAGGGGTATGCCCAACCTTGCGTATCAGCCCTAAGCCATCGTAGCGCCATAACTACACGACCGAGGCCACGGGCACAAAAGCCGGCCGATCAGCATGGACTGTTTCAAGACTTATGAGGCTTCGACAGGTCCTGGCATCCCAATTTGTGAATGTTGCAACCACTCGCTCCCCACGGCTTTTGTCTGCGGCGTCTCAGACCTGGTCAAAACTCCGATGCCCGACGACACTGAATACACGGCTCGGGCTCCTCCTCGTCTTCAGTGGTGAAGACTCTGTACCTAGAGGTGACCGGCCTCCCGCAAAAGAAGCTTGAAGCATCCCTCAGTTTGTGCACGATGTTTGACAGGGAGTGGATCATCAACTGGTCAACGGTGCATTCCGTAAAGGGGAGCCTTGATCCAGTAGCCACCGTTGGATGCCCGAAGAACTCCGCCTCGGACTCGGCAGACCTAGAAGCCAGCGACTCCAGCTCGTCGGGATCCTCGTTCGGCGGTACCGGGGCGTCTGGCTCCGGGCGGCTGAAGTGTCTCGACGCAACAGCTGCAACTCTGTCAGAGGTTGACATGTCGGGATCAAAATCTCCAGCCCTAATGCTCTCGAAAAGTGCAAGGAGTTTACCTGCAAGGGAGATGTAGTACTGGCGGGAATAGATGAGGTTAGACGAACCTCCCCGTTTGAAGTGATGCCCAAGTAGCAACTTCTCCTTGGCACTAAAATGGACTGTGGAGCTCCACCCCACCCATGAGAGCAGGGTAGCCTTCAAGCTGTGGGTACCAATCGATTCGTCAGGGGAGGCCCCCATGTCAATGGTAAGGAGGAACTCCTCAAGGAGGTCTGATCCCTCCTCCGAACTCATAGGCACCGTTGCCCAGCAGTTGGCACGCTGAGACCACGACGGAAGGCACCCCGCCGGTTCTACATTTCATCTAGCCGCAAAGTATACTCTCACAAATTTCTATAATTCATATATAAACATATTCACATCACGTGTATCACGTTGCAGTTCGATCCTCTCCTTTTTGGCGGTAAGACACTTCGTGCAGCAGCATAATGTCAAATGCAGATGCAAGAATGTGTACGAACACCGGCTGCGGAAGTGTAGGAGTACCAAAAGCAAGGACCATAAAACAAGTATTGAGATAGCCAAAGATACCACAGGATGTATGCCGGAAGTCGTATGCATTCAATGTCCGCACTTCAATGTACAGACAATGTACAATGCACTGGTGTCTTGACTATGCACCGTAAGACATGCATAACGCAAGTGCCACACCACACAGGGCGGGCGGGCGGGGCCTTTCTTGACCCTTCTCTGCTCGAGCAGCTTTGCGGCTAGATGATCAACAAGGATGAAACATCATGCGTTAGAATACAAATGTAAAACAGTTTTGAGCAAGCACAAAAAGCGTTCTACATTTCATCTAGCCGCAAAGTATACTCTCACAAATTTCTATAATTCATATATAAACATATTCACATCACGTGTATCACGTTGCAGTTCGATCCTCTCCTTTTTGGCGGTAAGACACTTCGTGCAGCAGCATAATGTCAAATGCAGATGCAAGAATGTGTACGAACACCAGGACTGTAAACTGCCACAAAGGAGAGGTCGGACTCGCAAGCGCTGCACTCCCACTACCGAAACGTGAGGCCGACAGAACCTGAGTGGGCATTCCGCCCAAAGAAACGTCACCGCATACGGTTGAAGAGAAAGCAAGGTATATGAGAAGCATAAAGTACTCAACTATCAGTGACGCCCTGCGTATGCAAGCAGACCAAGTTGCCTGCCACTCATGCCTATCGCGTTCACTGATGCATGTTCTGCATCTCACAACACCGCCCTCAGGGGAACGCATGTGCTCACGGGGGAAGGCAAGCCGACCGCGCGCCGTGAGTGTCGAACCCCGACGATGATGCACATCAACACCGGTGTTGCAGGAGCCCCAAGAGCCCACGGGGGAAGGCCAGGCCGACCGCGCACCGTGAGATGTTGAACCTGCCCGATGCCGAGTGCTCACACGCTGTGTGCATTGAAGGACGAGACAGGCGGCTGCCAAAGCAAGTTAGCATCTGGCGGGAAAATGCGAACATCTCGCTCGCCCTCCCACAAGACTGTGAGTGGGCAACGAACCCGGTGATCCAAGATGAACCGAGAAGGAAGTTCCTGCAAGTCGCCTTTCCACCTGCTCAAGAAATCAGCTCTATCATTGTGACATCCCGCGATGTGTGTACAATCGAGAGAGATTCCAGACTGCCAACTCCGCGTAGCCAGTTTCTGAGCAAAGAAACACAGCGGTGTATGTACTGTGAAAAGCTTGTTCGTCAAGGACTCGGTCCCCGAATTATCCGACCAAGATGGGATGCATACCCGAAGTCGCCCAGTAGGAGTGATGGAAATGAAAGCGATCAAGAGAGCCAGTTGTGCCAGCGTCTCATACGCTGTAATGTCCAAATTAGCATCATCTTTCATGGGCAATCCCAGCGCACGGAAATCTTGGACCGTAAACCATTCGGAAAACCAAACAATGGGCTGATTCGGCAATTCAACCCATCCGCCAATCCCAATGTCGTTGCCCTTAGCACAAGCGTCAGCAGCTAAAGAATATTGAAAGTCCAAAGGCGGCAAAGACAAGCAGCGGGGCATCTGAGGCCGCATGCAAAAGTGCACCCAGAACATGATGAACTGTCTGCTCACCGTGCTGATTCGACGCTTGCTAGATGATGCATCCGCCACACGAATCCAGACACGTTTGCCTGTGGCCCGCACCAAGCGCAAGTCTGCTTTGCACTTGATTTCCACATGTCGAGCACTCAACAACTTGCTGCCCGGGGGGATGGTCGACCCTGGTGGCGATTTGCGGAAATGCAAGTCATCCGTCAAGGTATCTGCTAGCTGTTGCCAGGCGCCTGCATGCAAAGAAAAATTTGTGCCCAAGGGACGAGACATGTCGTGGTACAAGCAGCACAGCCACGGTAGCAACTCTGGCGACAACTGCAATATCCAGTGAAGGAGACCGATGAGAGCCTGCAAATCCCGCTTGGTGCAAGGGTCGGACCGGAGCACTTGCATCAGGCTTTGCAAAAGTTTGGCCACCTTAGCATCAGGCAGACAAAACGTGCCTGCACGGAAATTAAGCTGCCACCCAATGTATTCCAGCTTGGGCCCCAACTGGAGCTTACGCCAACTGATCGGGTATCCAAATGATTGTGAGAATGCCACCATAAGGAGCGCGGAAAATTCGATGGCGGAACTGTGCTGAAGGAGTAATGCGTCGTCCACGTACATAAGTAGGACGTGGCTGATGAAGATCAGGCGATGGCCGGTGCGAACATAAAAGCCCGCTACGCGTTGCCACCACAACGCTGAAAAAGAACCTCCAAATGGTGCCACTTTATAAAAATAGTATTTCCCGTTCACACAAAAACCAAGCAATCCTTGTTCACTCGCCCGAATCCGAACGGTTTTGTGGGCTGCCTGTATGTCTAATGTGCATGCGGCTATACAGCCCGACACACCCCTCAGGGGATACACTGCCCGGATGTCACCGAGACCGGGGAGAAGAAAGCGCTCAGGCAGGTGGCAGCTAGGGTTAACCCCACTAACCGATGGGTCGACAATTAAGCGAGGATCTCTAGAACCACTTTTCACTACATTTACTTTGCCTACAGCGACCCGGGGCCATTTGGCTTGGGCTTCTTCGAGAGAGTCGAAGACGTGCACGTAGCCCTTGTCCACCTCTTTTTGCACAAGTTCTGCCAGCAATTCTGGCTCCTCATTGGCCCTAGGCCAGTTGCCCGAACACACTTGCACATCAAAATCTTCTGGATCGAAATGCGCTGGGGTAGGCAAGAAACAGTTGCTCATAGAAATGTCACCATCAACACCCGTTGGCACCCCAGCCTGCAAGTCCTTCCAAAGCTCCACATCACGGTCGTCAAGAGCCTTGCTCAGAAGCTCAAGTGCCTGAAGACAGTAAGGCTGGTCGGGCGCGACCTCCCATGAAACTGAATCCGTGAAGCCCTGGGCTCTAAACCAATCTTCCCAAATCGATCGCAATGCAGGGAGCTCATGCTGCTGAATGAGAGGCTCTTGCGATGACTGGCTGACATGTTTGCGAAGGCGATCAAAAAGTTTATGCTCTTTGAAAAACCCCCACATATCTTGACGCAACTGGCGGAAAGTATCCTTCGACCCCGCCGGAGGAGAAGTCCAGTCGGGCTGGCTGTAAATGCCGCCACCATCCTGCTGGCCAGTCGGGAAATCGTTCAAGGGGCGAATTGGCAATGCAGAAAGTGCCTGATCCAATGACGTGAAGTCAGTAGCATGTGAGTTCTGTGGGAATAACGGGCTAATGGCCTCCATGAACGCATTGCACAGCATGGGAGGGAACACCGCCGTATGCCGAGACACGAACTGGCCTGCGGCGTCACGTTTACCGTGAAACGCATCATGATGACCCGCAGCGTGCTGGCAAGTACTTTGCAATTGCTGTAAAGGTCGCCAACTTGTGGCGAAGGCCCAGTACTTTGCATAGCTCGAACCATAACTGCAGGCTGCAACCTGAATCACATCCGCCGCAATTTCCAGAAGGAAAGCCTGAGTCACGGGCTCAGCCCAAGCCATAGAGTTACGGGGTTGTTCTAAGCTTACGTGATTGCCACTCTGATATACAGCGTGCAAGAGCATGACTGCCCGAGATAACAGAAGGTGGCTGGATCGAACACGCTCCTGGGCTTCGTCATTGTTGGAGGGAAAGCCTGCCAAGCATTCCCATGATCGGCAGGGTGGCGGTCCGCCATCAAACTGCTTCACAATGCTGTATTCGCAGCAAGGAGGGGATGCGTTTGCAAACGCTACTGCACCTGAGTGGGAAAGCTTCAAGAGGCCATCGAAGATGCGATCATCACGTAAGTCTGATGCCTTGTTATGTAGAATATCTATGGGAATACACGCCCAACCCCGACGTGCGGCCTCCTGACAGAGTGGTGCACCTGCACCGGCAAAAAGATCCATTTTTGCTGTAGAAAAACTCAAAACCCAAATTCAAGCGAATATAAGTTGCACTCACTCCGTAAGTATAAAAGTCAATCAATTCATATCGTATCGCATCACTCGGACCCTTCTTTTCTTTCAGGGGGCGCACCGGGTTGCCCGGCCTTAGGCCGCGGGCTAGGCGCACTGCCAACATGCCGTTCGCATGTTGGGCCAACGTAGAGCACAGCCTACGGAGTGGTGCACAACTGGAATCGCAAGATCGGCCCCAAGCGATCTGAAGTCTCGACGGGTGTGGTGGGAGGGTAGTCGAGACCCATCTCCCACTCTTGAGCAGCAATGTAACACGACGTGGACATTTCACATGCTCTTCAAGGAAATTTCTTCTCTCAAGAAATCACTGCTCGAAATTACATTGCTTACAGTGGGAGAGGCAGCACACGGGTTAGGGCATTAAGGTTTTTGAGTTTTCTTCGCTCGCCGCCACGGCGGCTCGTCACGAACGCAAAAAGGGACTAGCTGTCGTCGCAGGCTAGACTGCAAAGGTACTTTTTGCTGTAGAAAAACTCAAAACCCAAATTCAAGCGAATATAAGTTGCACTCACTCCGTAAGTATAAAAGTCAATCAATTCATATCGTATCGCATCACTCGGACCCTTCTTTTCTTTCAGGGGGCGCACCGGGTTGCCCGGCCTCCCCAGAAAGTAGCAACACGGTACGTTCCCACTCAAGACCAGAGATTACAAGTCGACCAGCGGGATGCCCGAGATGGGGCATGAGCACTTAACTCGTAATGCACCCGAATCAACAAGTGCTCTGAACTCACCGCGTGACGGGTCGTCTGAAGGATTGGATGCGGAAGGGACCCTTGTCCAGTATGTCCACGATGGACCATGTTTCTCACAGCACTCCCATGTGAGAAGCAGCTCTCGAAAGTGATCACTGTTAGACGTTCCTCGCACAAAGCTGAGAAGGACAGCGTCGTTGTCAACGAAGAAAAGGCAATACTGTCCAGACATGTACTGGTGGAAAGCCTTGCGTGCCAGGGCGACAGCGTACGCCTCAACGGGTCCGATAATATGCTTCAGATGCTGCCTCCATCGGTCTGCCAAGGCACAAGGAACTTCGCAAGAAAAGAATCGGGGCCGCGCATCAGAAGGAGAGTAAAGAATACCTCCAACGGTGTTGCCAGACTGTTCGCTTGCTCCGTCCGTGAAGATCAAAACAGGCTTAGGGGCAACCACCCTAGGGGAACCGAAAGAGAGGCGATCAATGAGAAACTCGAAAGCCTCGATCTCGCGGGGACCCAGAACAAACCGGGAGGCGTGGCGTGTGGAAGCGGCTCTCAGCTCCGCCAATGCGAGCTTGCCGGTTCTCCCCATGACTTGCGCATCGGAGAACTGGACACGACCTGCAACCCTGGCAAAAGTACGCATCTTGATGCAACCTTCACTGATGCATTCACGGATGGCAGCACACACCTCACTGGATCGGCCTTCCTTGTTCCTAATCCGAATGACACCTTCCCTGGCTCCTTTCAAGTCAATCTCGACCCCAAGCATGGAGGCGACGTCTGCAAATGGGCTCAGTTTGTCAAGGGATGCGGAAAAACCAAGCACTGAGGACAACACAAGCAAGGTGTCCATGGTGGAACCTGAAAGACAGCACGGGCTCATCACTGGATAATCGTCAACGAAGTTGGCCCAGAACAGGAAGACTTCCAAACCTATCCGCCACAGCAACCTAGACAACCTGTTGAAGTGGAGCACGGACGATGTGCTTCCAAAAGGCAGAGCCTTACCCTCAAACAATCCCAAGTCGCCATTATCCGGATTGAGGAGGGCAACGACGGAGAAGGCACGATGGCTCGGGTTCAACGCAAATTGGCGATAAGCATTCTTCAAATCAAAGGTGCACAGCTCAGGACACCACGACGAACCCGCCCAAGCAGGGTGCACTCGACCAACCAACGGTGGTCCGCTGGCCATGTCCAGAAAGAACTGATGCTCCGTCGTGTGAGCTCGGATCCAAAAGCGACATATTGCAATGATCTCGTCAAGTGCCCTTAGATCCAACTTATCCCCATAAGAAAAAGAACCATTAACTAAGTTCTCGGAGTAGTCGTCAATCGGTCTCAACTTGCGCTTGCCTCCAGAAGATTGAATCACGGCGAACCGGCGCACAGGGGCCCATGCGTCGCCGTACCTTCTCGTCAGCTCTTCTTCGGTAAGTGGTCCCTCCAAGAACCCTTCGGCAACCTCAGTCAAAGTCTTATCCCACAGTTCCGAGGAATGCTCATTCAAACCCTCGGACAAAACCTTACCCAAAAGCGCCGGACGGATGTACTTACAGGCCTTAGTAAACTCGTCAGCCGTCCTCTCCTGGGGGCGAGGCTCCTTTCTAAAGACACCAGTGGGCTTCTGCCAACCAACCAAACCAAAACCCTTACAAGTATCCTCAAACCATCCATCGTCGGGCCACTTCAAGTCATCAGCAATGCGTTTGAGCAAGAGAAGCCTCTTTGATCCTAACACAGACCTCACACCAGGTTCGAGGCCCTCCTTAAGTCGGGACTCTGGTTCCTCCAATTCCCTGGCCCATTCTAACCACTTGTTGAGAGTGGCCACACGTTGCCTACCAACCCACTCAGGGCCCTTCACCAAGGCCTCATGAAGCTTTCGTTTCACTTCGTCGGGGATGACAGCAAACGTCTCGAAGGGATGCCGTAATCCTTTGGCCTCCTCCAGAAACTCATCCGGTGTTGCATACACACCAACACTAAGTTCGAAGCCACCCGACTCCCCCGTCTCCTCAGTGGCGAGAAGTTTGGAGCCTGCGGGGATGTCACCGATGGCGTGCTGCAAGCAATTTTTATGATCCACAGGCGGAATCTGTGGCACACGACATCTGCAAACGCGACCAAATTCTCTGATGAGGCTCGCACCAAGTTTACCCCGACGCTGCTGTGTGACAGGCGGAGGGCTGGACTGCAGCGGAGACAAAAGGGGGTCAAAGCCACAGTGTTTAGCCACGGCGTGGGCAACCTGCTGACAGAACAGCCTGGGATGAGTATCAACACCGCCAGTCACAGGCGTGTGACTGTGATTACCATGGCACACTTGTTGTAAACACTTGAGTGCACTACAAGACGTTAGCAGTTGCCTCCGCAAGCGATGCGGAGAATCGAAGGCACACAAATCGTACACCACGGTGGTGGTGTTGGTGAGCTGGCGCACAGCAGGCATATGCCACAGGAAGCTGGACTGCGGATGCTCAATGGACCAGGCGATGCCCATTTGTTGAACTCGTTTTAAGAAGGTGATGACATGTTCCAACAAGGAGTCGGCCAATGCGAGCCTTTGAACCTGAGAGGCGTCGGCGCCTCCCACAGGAACGACAAATCCATGGGACAGTCGTCGGAGGCCCTGCTTAGGTCCATAGGTGGCATACGGCAAATCAATGTGCACGTACCGAACATGATAGTTGTCAAGCACATGCGAAAGATACTGCCACGAGCTCGGCAAGGCAAGATCCAGTGAGCACAACTTGGCCAACGGAAGCCGGTGACTTCCCCTATCAATGGGCATGACCTCAAAGCCAATCTGATGAAAGGCTCGGGACAAAGAGCCTGCACGGGCAAAAAGCTCGAGCACAATACCAGGCTGGTCAACCGGCTTGGCCTGAACCTGACCAGTAGACACTACGGAATCTTCTACGGGGGCTAAACCCGACTTGGAGGAAGCTAGAGGCGGGGAAGTCACGGGTTGTGCGAGGCCGAGTGGTTTTGGAAACTCATCAGTAGCACACCCCCCGGTAACGACCGGCGCTTCATAGCAAACCGGAGGTGACTGTTCAGCATCAAGAATGTCGGCTTGCACCGGGAGCTGAAATTCCAAATCGGTCAGTGTAGCACTATCAGTTTCACTAAGGTGATCAATGGCGGAGACTGAAAAAGCAACTAACACCACTCTATCACCCGACCAATTCCTAGTGGCGTGAGTCAAACGTCGAGCGGTGAAGACGGCATGACTCCCATCCAAGCTGAGTTCGACTCCACTACGTAGCTCGCCATCAACATCGCACCAAGCTTGGCCGCCTGGTCTCTCAACCCACACCTGTCCCTGATCGAAGTCAGACAGTGCACACACAACATTGGGCATAGAAGAATTATGCGCATCCACATGAGGCGTGGTTTGAACGTTGTGAAAGAATGCTAAGCTCGTGAACTTTAAGCTGGGCAGCTGCTGTCGCACAAAGCGCGCGGCCAACTTTGTCACATTCGGGAAGAGCAAGACATTACGTCGCAGCCCAACCTTGACTCTGCAATAGGCACCTGTCGAGAAGGAGACCCCTTGTGATGGGTCACCTCGGACGGAAGCCTCTGTGGGGAGTGATTGGAAGATCTCAAGTAAATCAGTGGGGGAAACAAAACCAGCATTGTTCAGCAGGGTCAGAGCTCGATCCTCGACCGAACCCTTGAATTCGTGATCAAGACTTGCGCTACTGATCGACTCAATTTCATCGATGGCCTTGACCTCATCAGCCTGAAGATTGGTTTGAAGTGAAACGCGTGCAATCTTGGGAGCAGGAGCCTGGGCCCCTAGTCACTCGGTATTGCGCTTTGGGCAGTTGGGGTAGAAGTGCCCGGGCTGGTAACAAAAACAGCAAACGTGAGCACCCCTGAAGCACTTGTTGCCTGTCAATTGCCTAGTGCATTTGCCCCTCTGGGCATCAAAGCAAATGGGCACTCCTTTCGGGGTGTTTGCGTGCCCGTCCTTTAGGTCCTCTGGCATGGTCACCTCGCGGCGCGACGGTTGCTTACCCTTACCAGAACCTTTGCCCCGACCTTTGCCACGGCCATACGGAGTGGGTCTTTCAAAGGGAATCTTAGCGGGAGGAGGCGACGCGAGAGGAGCGAGCAAATGAGACACCTCGGTCAAATCGGCGCAACGCATCCACGCCTCGTCCAATGGACGACCGGTCTCCGTGACTTGCACTCCACTGCGACACTCATTAGCAGC